GTTGTTCCTCTCTAATTTAGGTCAACTCTAGCCTCTACTTAAACCAGTTTTTATTTGCATAATTCGTGAATGGTGGTATCAAAAAAGAGGAACAAGGTCAGGAACAGTTAACCTCAAAATAAAACTTGGTCACAATATATTCATTTGAATGTAAATCAAAACTCCACTGATGTTCATGTAACCACCAAACACACAGTTAACAACCACCATCTTCCATCTTAAATAAACCAGACCTCATCCACTTTAATGTTAGGAAGGAATCTGAGCTGTGAAACTGACATACAATCACCTGTATGTCATTTGTAGCCGAACAATTGCATTGAGAGTTCAAGGTTTACCTCACTTTGCTGCTTGTTCAGTTTCTAGAGGAAATATTCTTGTTTTCCTGCAGTGTAGCTACAACATTTTCTTGGGTTTTTCAGAAATGCAACTTAAGACATGCAGCTTTGCCCTCGAAGGATCACCTACTATTATATTCTCTCTCACATGGATCAGACCAGAGTCTAGTACAGTGGCCTCTATGGATAATTTCAACAACATTCTATGTAGTTGTAGCCTGATTTTACTGAGATGCGCCCACTGTATAACAGGGCCTCTGGATCTGAAACTTGAATGCATAACTTGTAACTGTTTTTGTCATATAAAGCCAGCTACACATTTAACAACGTTAAAACGCTGTGTTTGCTTGTTGTATGATCTGAACTGACTACATAATGGAACATCATGTATGTAGTATAACCATGCCACTGAATCACTCTCTTTCAGATGGTGAAGGGCTTCTCTAATCGTTCCCGTAAGGCCAGGATGATGGCTGAGCAGAAGGATGACAATGATCTGCCTCTGTTTGGAGAATGGCAGACTGAAGAGTACCAGCCGCCTATAGCTGTGGATGGGAAGGTAACCGTCTTTGTGGAATGATAACTGTGAGGAAATAGGGTCACTGTAGCAGCAAATATTAGGATACAGCAGAGAAAATGGAACCTGTTACTGTGTCTATGGAGTACGGATGTAAATTAGCATTCTTGCTAACTCTGTCATGTTTACATCTCTAAAAAAAAAAAAGAAGAAGAAAATCATAGGTAACAGGTTATGGCACATCACAAGTTACCAAAGCTCTAACTTTTACAACAGTATTGTTTAAATGTTTTCTATGTCTTTTCCCTTCAGGTTCCCCGTAACGACTACGGTAACGTCTACCTGTTTAAGCCCTGCATGTTACCGGTGGGTTGTGTTCACGTCAGGTTGCCCAACCTGAACCGCGTGGCCAGGAAGCTGGACATCGACGCCGCCCCTGCGGTCACAGGCTTCGACTTTCACGGAGGATACTCACACGCTGTGTAAGGCAACACTCCTGCTGGGACAGGATCATTCTTTTATTGCTTAGATATTTTTGATAACAAAGCTGGATCAGTTGCTCTCTAAATGTAGAGATTTGTGTTTTTGTTTGGTTTTTTGCTATTAGATCTGTTGCATGCTCAGGAAACTTTTTACTTTTTTATTTCTTTTTACTTTACTTTGTTCTCTCAGGTAAAACTACTCCATTGTAAACATTACCAGAAGTCAGACACCCCAAGGTCTGCACATTGTAAAATCTCTTTATAGAACATTAGTAGTTTCTGCTACTACTGATGAAAAAAAAAAAATGCAGTTGTTATGAAAACATGTTAAATGTAGGGAAACAAGTAATATTTTATCTGTGTGTTTCAGGACTGACGGTTACATTGTGTGTGAGGAGCATGAGGAGATTCTCAGAGCGGCCTGGGTGGAAGAACAAGAGCTTCAGAAACAGAAGGAGAAAGAGGTATAAGGATAACTTTCAAAGTCCATGAGTGACTGATTTTGCAGTGAAAATGAGAACTTATTATAAAACAGTTCACTTTCAAGTTAAAGCAAAACCAGTTATTTAAGACCTGTTCGGTACAAAATACCACATCACCTTTTCCTCTCTTCCAACGTTCCAGAAAAAAGAAAAGAGGGCGACTGCTAACTGGACTCTGCTGGTGAAGGGGCTCCTGATCAGAGAAAAGCTTAAACAACGCTACGGCAAGAAGAACCAGGGACTCGTTCAGGGAGAGGAGACAGGCGGGCTTTCGTCTGACGAGGAGGCGGTTGAGGGTGGAAGTCCTGGAGCTAAGACTGCATCTGAAACGCTGGCCATGTCCTGGCCCCAGAACAGACAAGCAGAGGAGGATGGAGGGAGCGTTAGCGGACTGAAGAAGAAGACAACAACGAAGCGGGAAAAGAGAGGACAAGAGAAACATTTGTTCCCCTTTGAGAAAGTGTGATCTCGGAGGTCCAAAACTATACTTGAGTTTAGTTAGATCAAAGTTGATTACACTCCTGAAATGAGCTGGAACACATTTGAAATCAACTTTTGCAAGTTTGGTCAACACTGGAACATTTGGCTGTAACAATATAACACAGAAAGAAGGAGAGGAATGAAGGGATCTGCAGATTGATCTGTTTCTTCCAGTGGTGATGAGACGGGCAATAAGCCTGCTCTGTCTCCACCATCTCCATATGTGCTCCCATTAGCTCATATGCTGTATTGTTAGCTTTTTGTAAGAGAGCTTATTAGAGATTCAGAACATGCCAGGATCCCAAAGAGAGGATGCGTGTGCTCTTGTGCAGAACAGTGTTATTGCGTTGTCTTGGAGAAAACAAACTCAGTATGAATGTGAGAACAGGGAAGCGTCCTTACAGTTTCACACGTGTGATTCACGTGACATAAAGACACACTGCTCATTTTCCATTTCAGTTCAGCACCCAGAAAACGGCACGTACAGCTTATGCCGAAATGAACTGATGGCTTATGTAGCAACTAAACTCAGAAACCCTGAGTACCAACAAACACTACAAACAGTGCAAGCTAATAAACATATTTCCCGTGGCTTGTAGTGGCTGAATCAAAATGAAAAGCTGCCAACACTTAAAGCTCTGAAATGATCCCCACTACTGCTACTGTTTCTGTTGTTACTAGACTGTAAACCATGTAACCTGACACTATGAAAAGAGAAACTTGTACTGATGTTGTTAAGTGAAACCTTTGTGTTTCCTGGTTTTCACATTTTCTGGAACAAACACAGCCATGTGTTATTCCCTGCAGTGCTGTGTTGGGGTTATAGGATGTTCTTATCTGACAGAGGACCATGTGTGGACCATGTAACCTTTCTCTTGAGGTTTAACCATGAAAATCACTACAACTGCAGTTAAGAAGATGATTTCTTAGCTCGCACACTTGATTTCTTACAGATACGATTACTTCCCCTTTTTCTGTCTTTCCGTGTTAGACTACAATATCCCCGGAGATTCACTTCTTTCACATTCAGCCTCTTTATCTCTTTCACACTTGTGTCACTGTTTCACACCTCGTGTCTGTACAAGTGTTCGTACACAGCACATGATCGCTGTATTTGAAATAGTAAACCGTTTTTGTATTAAGTATTTTTGTAAGAAATGTTTAAATACCAGTAAAAAGCAAAACAAGCAAAAAGAACCTTGCACTCTTTTTTAAAAATAGATTTTGCTACCTGTGTTTAATTCTGTTGGATTTATTGGACAATTTTATCTTAATATCAAATTTAGCATAAAAAACAGAGACATCTTAGTTCCAAGTTTCTAAATCACACAGTCAGGGAAATCATTCTGTTTTCATGTTTATGTTTCCTTCCTCATTTGACCATTGGGAATTTTTGATGTGCTGATGTGAGGTACATCCACACAGATATTACCCAATGTTCCTGGCAGGACTCAAGGACACATGCATACAACTAGTTTTTGCATCTACTAGTTAAATGCTGGCAGTAAAATGTGTGTTTATGTGCTGGTACATTTATTATTATTTTAGCTTATAAAAAATACAATTATTGCCACATGAATTCTAATTGATTTCTGACTAGTAAGTAAGTAGTCTAATAAGAACATTCATGAGCATTCCTTACAGTGAAAATTCACAACAATCAGTGTAAATCAGAAACTATTTTGAAGTCATATGTATGTAGTTTTGCATTATTAACAACTGAGTGAATAGTGAATGACATATTGTGTGCATTAACACCAAACCTCAACTACATTAGATGTTGATGTATCTTCTTCCTCAGAAATTCAAGACCAATTACCAGTGCATTAACTCCAGGGGCTCTGCTTCCTTCAGGTGCTGCTGAGAAACACAGCAGAGGGTAATGCATTGTTTATAAAGCAATCGGTCCTATGTCTTCAGAGCGAAGCACTTTCCATTTCCATCCAGTTGCAGAGCTGCAGCACCTGCAGTTACGGTCTAACCTGTGCCACCCATAGGCAATGGAAGTAACAGCTGGAGCAGTTTAAAACTACATGTGAGGTAATAATGTTAAAGTGTATGGGACTTTAATAAAGTAAAAGGCTTATAGTATTAACAGTCATTAAACAATGCTGAGGATGTGTCTGTGACATTTTCTAGAGAGTCTAAACACACAATGCGGTTCAACTGTGCTCTACTGGTACAGGAATCAGCTTGTTAAAAAGGATGAACTAGGCACAAGGTAACCACTCTGTAACATTAAATAATTAGTATCATACAGTGCACCCATTAAAATTTGTGTGTTAAAGAGATTGTGGGTGTGTAATTTCAAGAAGATAGATTGTTGCAATATTCATACAATGCTGTAGTGCAGGGACAGGCAATGGAGAAGGAGAGAGTTTGCAGTAGAATTCACCTTTTGGTTTTTGTCATCTAGATGTGTGTACATGTATGGTACGCTAGGAGATAAGAATATGTGCCATAACGTCATTTAAAAGCCTGAAATTCGGGGTGAAATACATATTAAATGAAATATCTGAAACTTCTTCTAATAAGGATGTTTTTTGAAGTAAAAAAAAAAAGATGCATCTTATAATATTGCTTAAGTACTAATGGACAGCACTAATGCATTAAGAAAAACTGCTGCATCTTTCCCAGGAGAGAGAGAGAGAGAGAGAGGGAGAGAGAGGGAGAGAGAGGGAGAGGAGGGGGAGGGGGGGGCTGGCGTGAGAAACGCGGACGTGACGTCATAGATAAGTACCTCTATCTTCCGCCTACCAGGCTGGCGAACACAGTGTAAATCGCTCTCTGGGTTTCCCCACACAAAACCCACTTCTGGCTGTCAGCGCTGCCCTGAGAGGTAAATACCACCGACTTTAACCCGTGGAAATGAATGCAGCGGTTGTTTAAATGTGCCTGTTTACTCCCGAGCTCCAGAGGGCCTTGTTTACATCTCAATCCCCGGACTAGAGTGGCCCAGAGGCGGAGACACAGCGGGAGGGAACGATAAGGGGGGGTGTTATATTATGTTGCAAATTCTTGTTAGAGGTCTAAATTAACCTTTTCTTGAAAACCTTTGCAAGTCTGTTCTGAAAGTACCCAACAATTTAACTCGGGGGAAAAACTCGTGGGTTTGACATGCCGTTACTCCGCGGCCAATGTAACTGCCAGCACGTTAGCCAGGAAGCTAATCTGGCTAAGAGCAAGTTAGCCAGCCGCTCTGTGGATTTCACTTCACTGGCGTTTTTATTGTAGTTTATTTCAAGTCGGACCGAAATGCCGAAGCCCAGTATTTGTTACTGCCGTTTTTACGTTACTTAATCTCTCCCTTAAAGCTCTTCCTTCCCATCCCCCAAGACGTGTTATCAAACCTGTGCTGAGTCGCTGTGATACATTAGCCTAGCAAGATGTGTGTCACCCAGTTTGGTGCCTATTTTTAGCCTGCACCGGGCGGAATGCGTGCATCCGTCTGTCGCTGGGCTGGCACCGGGGCCGGCTGGCAGGCTTTCCCGACTAACCTTGTTTTTTTTTATCCAGGTGGATATTTACGATGTCACGTTTGAACCCCGGTGCCAGCAAACTGTTTTTATCCGGTGTCTCTTGATCGGAGTGGAAACAAATCACATGTCTTAATAAGCCTACTTAATGTTAGAGCCTCTGTGGTGTCAGTGTTTGTATCATCGGACTGTCCTTCCCATTGAAAGTTGTTGGATTCTTTAACCCGAGTTCGATGGGATGTTTTGGCAAGGGGAAAAAAAAACACAAGCTAATCATACATACTCAAAAAAAAAAAAAAAAAACCACTGTATGGACAATGATAACTGTGTGTGTGCTAGGGGAACCCCATTCTGACATGGACAAACAATTTAGTATGACCCTGGTGCTGCACAGCAATGCTAGGGAACTGACTTTCCACAGTGCAGTTTGTACATGCAAAGGAATTTGATTGGTCTGCCAAAGAGCTGGGTAATGTTAGGGTAAAACAAAGCAATAAATATCACACAATCTATTTCAGTTATGCCCCACATCATGTTGTAAAGCTGATCTCCAGTACTGTGGTCATTTTTAAAGTCATCATAGGAAAAATCTCGCTACACAATCTTAAAAAAAAAATCCCCAAAATAATTACATTTGTCGACAAAAGACATGTAAAAATGTATTTGCTAACCATTTATGCCATTTATTACATGAACCCAGTCATGCGTCACTGCTTTGCTGTTGTCTGCTTGCAGTCAACTTGGTTTTAATTCCAACTGAGACGGGCTTTCTCTTCCCGCCACCAAGTTAACTACAGTTATGGTTTGTCTGTTTTCTTCATCCCCGAAGCTAAAGCATCTTCAGCTAATCCTCTAAACCGTGACATTAAGTCTTAACCCATGCCTTGTGCCCTGCACGTGTTTAACAGATCTACACTGTTGTAGGATCAAAAAAAAAAAATACAGGATGTGTAGTGAGCATGAGCTGATTTAAAATCGTGCCTTTTGTAAAGTTCAATCCAAAGCTAGAGGGCAACACGAGGAGTAGGACTGCAGGAAGAGTAACCAGAAGAAAAAAAAGTGTAAATGAGGAGGATTTTAATTGCTCATAGCATAGAAAATGGTCAAATGGTGAGTAGGGTAGATGTAGCTGTGGTCTGATTGACTCCAGACTGGGAGAGAGCATGGGAGGGAAGGACCTTGGACCTAATTCAATCTCAGCCCATGGCCTTTAGATCATGGCTAGCTTGTCTTCTATCCCACAAAAAAAAAAACAGTTTGTCAACAGGCTGCAATGTCTAGTAAATTAACAAAATTCAATTCAATTCAATTTTATTTGTATAGCGCCAATTCATAACAGAAGTTATCTCAGGACACTTTTCAAATAGAGCAGGTCTAGACCGAACTCTTTAAAACATTAATTACAGAGACCCAACAGTACCACCATGAGCAAGCACTTGGCGACAAGGGCAAGGAAAAACTGCCTGTTAAAAGGCAGAAACCTAGGACAGATCCTCCGGCTCTAGGTGGGTGGTCGTCTGTCTCGACCAGTTGGGGTGAGAGAGAGAGACTTCAGGAGATACTTCTGTTAACCGTACACTCCAGCTTGGTTGATGGAATATGATCTAATCTGTAACGTCAACTGCTGTGTAGAAATGTCAGATGAAACGGGCACAGCCAAAAGTTTTGCATCACCTAGCTGGTGGACTTTGTAGCCATGCTGCAGAATATATATTATTGTAAAGATTGAAATTGTGTATTAGAGACAAGTTTAGTTCTTGTGACAAATCTGAGTAATGTGATTGTTTTTGATTGCAAAATTACAACAGAATCTTAGTCATTTTATTTTCTCTGAAAAGGTGAGTAATCTGTGGGCAGTAGGCAGAAAAGTGGATGATGGTATTTGTTGTCATCAGTAGACGTATATCATTTGTGGAGAATTAAAGACACTCCAGTGACTATCTGATCTTCTCTGAAGGATTGTTTGTAATATAGCTTGCTCTGTCTACTGTATTCTGAGCCAGTCAATAGGGTTAATTATTTAAAAAAGGTAAAAGGTCCAGTGTGTAAAATGTTTTGCTTTTTGCACAACACCATTGTTTCTCCTTCATGCTTGGAAGGGGAGAGTAAAGTAAGGGAGTTGCGGTCTGAAATTACACCAAATAAAATCCTTTTTTAAATAGACTAATAATGTAAGATACTAAGAAAACACAATGTGATGCTCTATGTGACCCAGACCAGAAGTAATGGGATTAGTTAATTCTGTATTTTCTATGTATTTGCGCATTTATTTTTCATGGAACTTTGGTGTCTTTCTACGGACGTCCCTGTCTGCAGCAGCAGTAGTGATAATGCAGATGGCTGGGCTTCCTGTCAGTGACTCAGTTTGTGACTGTTTCTTTCTCCTCTTAGGAACATTTTTAGACTGAATGATTATTTGAAGATTCCTTACAATAATAACCAACTCTTGAGAAGTTAGTGGACATTTGCTTTCAGCAAATTTGAGGATAACTGAGAACGACAGGGATTTATTAATCATTCTGTAAACACATCTTCACCTTGTCAGCCAAATGCCGGAGGTATTACTCAATGATTCTTAGAGAGAAGACAATAGTGAGTTATTAGGACACTATTGAATACTATTCTGTCACCTGTTATCTTTGTTTTTATGTTTTTATTGATTTATTGTGTGTGCTGCAAATCAAATGGGAGGATTTGCTGCTTTTCTTTGTCTTATCTGATACTAGTAAACTGAGTAACTGTGGATTTTGGACTGTTGGCCAGACAAGGCATTGAATATAATTTCAGTTTGGGCTTCAGGAAACTGTGATGAGCTTGTTTCACTATTTTCAGACACTAGACCAAATAATTAATGGAGAAACTAATCTGCAGATGAATCCCTAATAATCATAATCCTGGGTCATATTGTTGTCAAAACATTTGAAAGTGCTCTAAACTGCTGGCATGTGCCGTAGCAACTATTGAGATGCTATACATTTAAAAAAAAATTTAATCCACTTATCAGTAGGCATTATTGACAAATTAGATTTTATTTTCTCACAACACAAAAAAATTTCTTACACTTTTTTTATTTGTCCTCTTCAACTCTCTTGCTCTTCTGCTTATTCTTCTCTCTCTCCACTTTTCTCCCTTCTCGTTCCTGTCTTCCTCTCCCCTCCTCTTTAGTCTTTTTTCCCCCTCTCCTTAGATTGTCCTGTGACCAGCTTTCGAAATGAGTGACGGGGAGTGTGACTTCTTCTGCTTCTTCCGCTGCTGCTGAGCGCGCTCTCTATGCGCCTCAGACAGACGGAAAGGCAGGGTGTCTCTGAACAGTGACACAAGCAGGTGGACAGGAGTGTGGAGAGACACAGGAAGGTGGACTGTCCAACGAGACATTTCAGCTAATCGGACCACTAGGATCCGACGGGTAGGCTGGTTGTCTACCTGTCCGGGTGATTGATTCAATCGACTGGATGTCTGTGGACATGAACAGCCAGGCGTCGGACAGTAATGAGGAAGACTTCGGGGTGAACTCTGAAGAAGAGGATGATGATGACGATGGGGGAGAAGAGGAGGATCAGGGCGACATCCAAAGCTACTATGAAGGTGTGGCCAGCGATGTGGAGCAACAGGGCGCTGACTCATTCGACCCAGAGGAGTACCTGTTCACCTGCCTGACCTACAAAGAGAGTCAGAGGGTGCTAACGGAGGAGGTCCACACTGTGGCTGCTGCACTGAAGGTGAGCTTGTGTCTGTAACTGGGTGCAGGGTGCTGATGATAAAATATGTCTTTAAAGTCAGATAAATTGGTAAGGGTTGCCGCTGTCACATTTTGTTCATACCTTTTGAGACAGATGTCGCTCCCAGACCTCACAGACCACCGTACACTTTATATGACCATGAGTAAAGCAGTTCAAAGAAAAATAATTTCAGACAGGCTTTTGGTAGTATATTCGCATAAAGCGCTAATGAGAACCACACCGATCTAATTTTCAGGGAAACGGTGCAAAGAGTAGAACAGAGTCTGGTTAGTCTGCATCGTCTCAGTAGGTTAAACCCATTTCTGTTGCCTTCTACTCTCCATGATTAGTGATGCTGTGTTAAGCTGAACACACATTTCAGTTGTGCTCACTGACTGATATTTTTCAGTTTCTGTCATAAGAGGATTGCACGAGTATAAAATGGTTATTTCATTACAGCTCAGTAATGCTAATAAAATAATAAGTCCTGCACTGAGACCTGTTAATCAAATCCCTCTTTCATCCTTACAAGTCAATTGAGTGAATGATCACAGAAAAAATTGACTGAACATCTGCTTTCTGCTAGATTGTGCCCAGTTGTGTTTGTGAGGGCATACACAATTGTTGGAAAGCTTAGTCTCTGTCCACAGTAAAATTACAACTTTTTGATTTCTTGATTTTTTTTTTTGCGTGTTTCTGAAAAGCTAATGTAGCTTTTGTGTGGATTGAAGAACAGAGCAAGACAAGGAATTCATTTTCAAATCCAGCCACTTTAGTTTGGATGTAATCCAAAACATGTTTGTCATTTTTGAGGCTGTAGTATTAACCAACTATCTTATCAGCGTGTGTGAGAGTCAGCGTTCAGAGTTCACAATAATTTTAGTAGTAGTCTCGGTCTCAGTGTTGACATCAGTCACCAAGTGAGTTTTACATAACATAAGGCCACTTATAGATGTAGCATGAGTGCTGAAAGTCACTACCTGAAGTCATTTGTGCCAAAATGATGCAGTGTGGAAACAAGAAGTTTAAAAAAAATGACCACTTCCTCTCCAAACACAGAAAAAACAGGTTACCAAAGAGGTAAAGTAAGGTAAAGAGAAGTTTTATGAGCATCCTGTGTATATCACATGTTCAGTTATGTAACAGAATTTGTGTGCATGGCTGCATGATGTTGGTTGAGGTTATAGCTGCATTAAAATGACCAGCCTGAAATGTGTGAGTGTGCATACTCTCACAGCAGGCTAATTGTAATCTCTGACAGTTTACATTGTTCTGAGTGCACACATTAATATTAATGCATTCTTTGGCGGAGACTGAAGGAGGCGGACTAACAGTGATTGTGATGTTATATCATCTTGAATACGGCCTTTCGGACCTCCATAATAAGCAGTTATTTTACTCGTGTTTATTTAGGGTGACTTTGCTGAGTGTGCATACAGTTTTGCAGTTAACACCTTACTTCACACTCAGTTACACATAATCACACCTGGGACTTGCACAGCACAACTACAGTCTTCTGTTCACAGCCCTCAGAGGAGCAGTTGTGTGTTGATGGCGGGTAGCACTTCTCAGTCATTTTACTGGATTTGAACCATTGACCTCCATGCTTTAATAACCTCATTGACTAACATGAGCCATAGACGTCTGGCCTGTAGTGCAAGGTGATATGCTAAAGTAATCCTAGATATCTCCCTTTATAGATTCATCTTCCTGCCTCATCTAATATTCACTGAACAGTAACAACTGAAAATACATCAAGTCATCAGAGGGATTCACTGGATGACTTACATTTTAGTTTTTAATCAAGGCAAAGGGGTGTTAATTGAGTCAGTGCAGCCTTTTGTTTTGAAAGTGTCTTAGATGAATGGAATATAATTTCTACTGTAGATGAAGCTGCTTATGTTTCTTTAATTGCTAAATCTTGTAGTCTATGTAATAATATGAGGTTATGAAGTTTGTTTTACAGCGATTAGTCGATTCATTTATCCATTTTCAACTATTAAATCAATTGACAACTATTTTCACTATTGATTAATTGTTTGTAGTAAAAAAAAGAACATTTTCTGATTTCAGCTTTTCAAATGTGAATATTTTCTGGTTTAGTCAGCTGTCGTAGTAAACTGAATATCTGCGTTGTGGACAAAACAAGACATTTGATGGTCATGTTGGGCTTTGGGAAACAGGGGACATTTTTCATTTTATGGACCAAACAACTAATCGATTAATCCAGAAAATGAGTGACAGATTATTCAGTAATTAAAATAATTGTTATTGATAAAGTTTCTCTTGGTAAGATAAATCATTAATCAAGTAATTGTTACAGTTCTACTGGCGTTTAATTGTCCTACATATTTGGTTGTAATCAGTTGATGAGTTGCTTTTTTCTTTACAGATTATCTTACTTTCAGCACAGTCAAGTGACTGATGCAACATTTCATTGCTTTGAATTAAATATGATGAAGCAACTTTTCACAAGTGTCTCTCTCTCTCCTCTCTTTCCTCTCTCTCTCTCTTCTCTCTCAGGTTTTACCAGCGGTAGCAAAACTGATCTTGGTGCACTTTCACTGGCAGGTTACACAAATACTGGACAGGTATGTCTCTGCAGACTTTCTTTTTCATTCCCCTTTCTCTACTTCTTTAATTTGCCCAACCTTCCTATCCTCATAATTCTCTCGTCTCTTTAACTTCTCTCTTGTACTTTCTCCTTCTTGCTCTTTTTTTTCATTATCTTTCTGTCTCTGATATTCCTTTGCAACTATTTCATTTCTACATTCACAGGTTCTTTCTCTCTACCTCATATTCTTCTGCGCTGCAGTTTTAACGTTTCCTGTCTCATCATATGACCCTTGGTTCTGTCCATGTCCCCACAGATACAAGTCCAACTCATCTCTGCTGTTGTCGGACGCTCTGGTCCAGCCCAGCAGCACCTGCAGATCAGTCCCTGTGAGTGACAGATCACATGAGGGCTTTACTCATGGACAGTTTACAGGCTTTGTTCATACCTTCATTCAGATCTTCATTCATATCTTGTGGCCAATCTTAACAGTTACTACAAAACAGTTTATTCGTTTGTAACCCAGTTCTCCTGTCATTCATTTGTGTGAACACTACTTTAAAGGCAACCTCTCAGGCCAAACACATGCATTGGAAAACATTGTGTAAAAGCCATAGTAAAGCAATAAAATCCTTGAACACATTGTTTACTGTGAGTAAAATGTGTAGTTTGAACAGTTGTTTTTGTAGCCATTGATTCACCGCTGCACCTATATCCACAGCAAAGTAACTTCAAGTACAAATCAAAGTTCTAATGCAGCATATAATCTACTTGTAGTGTAAAAAATAGTTGAATATTGACTAGATTACTAAATACTATTGCTACAGATGTCCTTTATCTTTAACTAGATTCTACTGCCATTTTGTTGTATATGTTTGTATATGGAGCTCCCCAACAAGCTCTCCAGTTTGTGTTTGAGGGTGTGTTGATGATTTATGTGTTTGTGTGTTTCAGGCCCTTCAGTCCCTCCAGTGTGGTGTGTGTCTACAGGTTGTCCGGAGAGACTCCCTGCTGGCACTGCCCTGCCAGCACTCCTTCTGCAAAGCATGCTGGGAGCAGCACTGCACTGTACTTGTCAAAGATGGCATTGGAGTGGGTGAGTAGGGAGAGTGAGTGTGTGTGTGTGTGTGTGTGTGTGTGTGTGTGTGTGTGTGTGTGTGCGTGTGCGTGCGCGTGTGTTTGGGGGGGGGGCATCAAAGCTGGTATTAGAGTGGGTGAGTCACACTTTGTTTGATGTGAGCTCCCAAGTGTCTGTTCATGTATCTGTATGTCTGTCCTTGTATTTGTGTGTGTCCGCTCAGGGTTTCAGTTTCATCATCTGGTCCTTTTTAGTTTCTTTTAGCCTATGTGACCTTGCCAAAGGTCTACAAACTAGTACTGAATTTAACAAAGCAAGCTACGTTCATTTGTAATGACAGAAAACTCTACAAACCCTGGCTGGATGTTTCTCAATATTTGTTTACTTGTTTGTGTGTGTGTGTAAAACCCAATAGTGACTTAAGATAAGGGAGGTGTAATATGAGATTTTGAAGACTCCTGTGTGGTGTAAAATGTACCAAGCAGACATTCTCCTACTTATGATTATTAGTGCTTGTGTGATACTTTAGAGAAGGAGTGAGAGAGAGAAAGTGTGCTTGTGTCAGCAGGAGCGCAGATGGGTGTGTGGGTGTGTACACAGATACGTTTTTGTACAGCATACTGTATGTGTGTGGTAAAGTGCATACAGTTTACTAGACTCCCTCGTGTGCGTGTGCGCAGATGTGTCCCTGTACTAGTTTTCTACAATCTCCCTGATAAAGTCGGCCCACATAACAAAGTCCTTCTGAGTCTGATAAGTGTTTGTCTATCAGCTGTATGAAGGACATATTTATGATGACTTATCACCCCCAATCCAGTTTCTGGGTCACTATAACTAGAAACCACCCCGCTTAAACTAAAACACAGCCACAGAGGAACCTGCACAATCACAGAAGAAGTTGAAGCCTTTGTAGGGCAGTGTGTGCACATGTTGCTTCTCTCACTATAACCTGTCAATTATTTGGGACAAATTTGTGTGTGTGTTCAGGTATCTCGTGTATGGCTCAGGACTGTTCCTTGCAGATGCCAGAAGACTTTGTCCTGCCGCTGCTGCCAGCAGAGGAGCTGAAGGACAAATACAGACGCTACCTCTTCAGAGACTACGTCGAGGTGTGTGTCTGTTTGCTCAGATGCTCTGTCAAGGTCTGCATGTATATCAAATAAGACGTCGAAGGCATGTGGAAAGGGAGGGAGCGTTTGTTTCAACGACTGAATCTTTGAATCTCCTTCACATCTCATTAAATTTGAATTCTCTCTCTCTCTGGTTTTGTGGGTGAACCAACCCTTTAAAAACTGACCTCCATGCCGAAGTTGGTCTAAGAGAACTGAAAACTTCCAGCAAGGGGTGGAAAATACACTGACACTTAATCTCCCTCTAAGTTAATCTCCATGATCTCTCTGTCCCACAGAGTCACTTCCAATTGCAGTTGTGTCCGGGTGCAGACTGTCCCATTGTCATCAAGGTGCAGGAGCCCCGGGCGCGCAGGGTGCAGTGTGAACGCTGCAATGAGGTCTTCTGGTAGGACACAAACGCACTACACACACGACAGTATGAATCAAGTATTGCTTGACTATGGTCAGATTTTGTTTGTGTGCCTGCCTGCTGGCTGTGTGTCAGGATTGTATTCAGTTATTTTATTTGTATGTGTATTTGTTCTTGTGCAGTTTTCTTTTTGGCAGAATTTTAATTTCCTTTTTATGTTTTTATTTTTTATCTAGTCCAACAACAGTTTACATTCTTGGACACTGGACAAAGTGGGAGTAAGAGGAAAATCAAAATATGTTTTCCTCCAAGCTTAAGAAAAAAAACAGATGAATAAAAGTGGAATGAGAAAAGCCCTTTTGAGTCACAGATAACTACACAGCTGTTGGTGTGTTTTAGATAAATAAAGTGTGTTAAAAGCATTTAATTGACCTAGATTTGTTTAACTGTTATTACTGTAAACCAAATTTCCCATGTTATTTGTTATTAATGTGGGTTTATAATGAAGCTGTGTGTTATTTGCTTGTAAACAGTACAAAAGTGAGTCTCTATTCTGTCTCTTTCTCTGTCTCAGTTTTAAATGCCGTCAGATGTACCACGCGCCTACAGACTGTGCAACGATCCGGAAATGGCTGACCAAATGTGCAGATGACTCGGAGACGGCTAACTACATCAGCGCACACACTAAAGATGTATGATTGCTCTATACGTATACACATGCAGTCCTGCACACATACAGGCTCTGGTATTTCAACGTACTTGCGCACGTGCTGTAGTTTTGTCACGTTCACGAAGGATCTCACACAGTTTGAAAACACCAAAAATACATATTACTTGTTATCTGTAATAGTGTGCTGTAACCTGTCAGTTACTCTAACCTCATTACCAACCTCCCTCTAGTGTCCTAAGTGCAATATCTGCATTGAGAAGAACGGAGGGTGCAATCACATGGTGAGTCAGAGCTGAAAATCACTCTTTCCCAGAACGCAGGAAATGCTAAAAATATGTTCAGATTCTGAGAGCCTAACTCCTAAACTTTAATAGTTTGACGCTTGATTTAATCCCTCCTGGGCATGTATGGATCTGTCTTTTATCTTATTTAATATTTTAACATATATAACAGTTTTTAAGCTGTATGTGTTACACATCAGTTAAATGGTTTTAAACAATGGTTGATTTGCTCAGATTGATTAAAGTGTGACTCCCATGGTTATTTTGCCAGGTGTCTTGTTCCCTAATTTGACTTACTCTTGTTTCTTTGTTTTTTTTCAGCAATGCTCCAAGTGCAAACACGGTAAGTAGTTTGTCTCTGTGTTTCACATGTTCACTATGATCCAGTGAATCTGGAACCCAGTGAGTTCTGTGAGGCACTTTGCATCCACCTAGTGGCATGAGATGTGACACAAAAAGAATGACTGAAAGTTGAGGTTTGGTTAGAATAAAAGTCGCATTTATTTTCCTTTTTGCTCTCTTTTGGCTGATGGTGGCAGCCTACAATCCTAAAGGAAAGTTATAGTTGTTGAGTAGAGTACCCAGAATCAAAAACCCTTCAGAATAACTTCTGAAGCTAGCTTTTAGAATCCTTTTTTGCCAGCTTCTTCTTCATTACTTAAATTTTGTGAATGTGAATAAACCAAACTGTGGTAAGTTATCTGGGGAAAGAAAACATATATTGCCAACCACAGTCAATATTGTCTGGTTTAGACTGGCTGTAGACATAAGAACTGAGCTGAGCCTTAAGGCTGTTCTTAGTCTCGCAAGATCTTAGTGCCTTAGTACCAATTGACTGCGGATTTCTTAATGCAAAGTTGCTTGAAGAGCAGCAAGAACAGCTGCTAACAAATGTATGCCCCTTACTTCAAAGACATGTCTCACCTGAAACGATGCCCCCTCCCCCCCTCCTCTATAGTAAAACAAACTGGAGATATATTGAATCACTTTGTAACACTTGGAGAACTTAAATTAACGTCGAAAGCATTATATGATGTGTTTAAAAGCATAAAATTCCGTAAGTTACTGCCCTAAAGAAATTGGATTGGTTCTGCAATGCAGGTTTCTTCAAATTTCAAATTACAAGTTGTTTTCTTAGCAACGAAAGCCAGGAGAAGGGGCTCAGTCTCTATTGAGCAAATCATTTAGATGGCTTGTGAGTCTAGGCTGTTCTATGATACCAAACTTGTTCTTACTTTTACATGCTTTGTAATTACTCTATAAAGTGTGGAGCCCATACATGTGTGTTTTGTGTCTCCTGAAAGACTTCTGCTGGATGTGTCTTGGTGATTGGAAGACTCACGGCAGTGAATACTACGAGTGCAGCCGCTACAAAGAAAACCCTGATATAGTCAACCAGAGTCAGCAGGCTCAGGCCCGAGAGGCCCTCAAGAAATACCTCTTCTACTTTGAGAGGGTGAGTTTTTTTTGGATCCCAATATAGATTTTTCCAAAGTATTGCTCTAATAACATAAAATAAAAATTTTGCAAAATGCTCTATAAGAGCTGTGCCTGGAAAAATGTAAAGGGTGAAACTTTGCAACTTGTCAGACATCCTCTCTACCCAAATGCTGAGACTGGTGGAGAAATCTGTGGAGACAGGGTGGAATTCAAAGTGTGCAAAACTTTATATAAACCAGATGGAAACATAATTTCATCTGTTGGACTTGAGACAGATTTCCTCCTGCACTCTTGTATAAAAGTTGGACATTTATGTCTGAAAAGCTATTGTCGGGACAGGAATCACAGCACACTGTCGAGCTATACTGCTACAGAAGAAATATATGTTCTGTCTTTTCTTGTTTTTCATTTTTATTATATTTTATTTGTTTATTTTTTCCTACAAGTGGGAGAATCACAACAAGTCTCTGCAGTTGGAGGCTCAGACGTACCAGAGGATCCAGGAGAAGATCCAGGAGAGAGTGATGAACAACCTGGGAACCTGGATTGACTGGCAGTACCTGCATAACGCTGCAAAGCTACTGGCTAAGGTACTCACACACTGAACTGAGACTGTGTCCATGTTCTGGATGCACAGGTAGTAAGTAAGTGACGTGAGGGGAGAAATGAAATGGGGAGGAGATGGACAGAAATACGTTTTATTATTTTAATAAGTTACCGTGTTTACATCATCATTCATTTTGATCACTGGATTGAAAACCTTTGTTTAACAACCATGTCAAACCTCTTTCATGTTGTGAAATGTTACCTGACTCACTTTCTCTTTCCTGAATGGATGATTTCAGAAGTGAAGATCTGCCCTTTAGTTTGCATGTGTCATGACTTAAAATATGATATACCTGCTCATAAGATACCATTGAAGTAAAGATCAATACATTTATCAAGTGCCTTTCTTCATTTTCACAGTCTGAGTGAACATTTTCTCAGGTAGTGCAACATCATGAGTGTGTCTTGTCTTTTTGTTTCCAGTGTCGCTACACGCTTCAGTATACGTACCCTTACGCCTATTACATGGAGTCCGGCCCACGCAAGAAACTGGTGAGTCTCTGCCCGTGCCCTAAAATAAAGTAACTATATCAAGGGTGGTCTTGCCCTCCTACAGCCTATTTTAAATCTTATATCTGTCCTTCTCTGCAGTTTGAGTACCAGCAGGCCCAGCTGGAAGCAGAGATAGAAAACCTGTCGTGGAAGGTGGAGCGGGCCGACACCTATGAGAGAGGAGTGGTGGGAGGCGAGGGGGAGCTCAGCGCCAGCGACAGAGGGGTAAGGGGCTGAACACACATAGATGCACTGCTAGAACCACGTCACCTGCAAAAAAAATTGTTTTCCTGTGGTGTGGAGCAGTTTTTCAAATATTTTAAAGTTTTCAACACTGCTCATCAATGTCACAATTGCCAATCAAATCATGCAAGAGGCGGGCTTTACTACTTTACTTTATTCTCATTGTGAGCATGCTGGCATGCTATGGTAAACATTAAGCTCAAAGCGCTGCCTGTCTACATGGCTGTAGACTCTTAGTCTTGTTACATACACTGTACTGGAGCTAAATGCTAGAAGATTGGTGGTAATAATAATAATAATAATAACTGATTGGATTTTTTAATATCTTTCTTTACAGGATCTGGAGAATCAGATGCACATTGCTGAGCAGAGGCGACGTACGCTGCTGAAGGATTTCCACGACACCTGAAGCTCCATCGCGACTGCAAAGCACCAGCATCTCCCTCCTTACTTACTATCTTTGCTTCCTTCCATGACCATCCCTTGGTGCAGTCATACTGACCCCTCCTTTTCGCTTCTCTATACTCGCTCATTTGCTTCTTTCTTTCTGTCTTTCCCTCCTCACTCCCATAACGCTGCAGGGTCACGGAATGGCACGATTGTATCTCTCCTTCCTCTTCTCATGCCCACCCTCACCTCATCTACACGTTTTGGCTTCAGAGCATCACATTCAGTGCGGTTACACCTATTGCAGCTTCTCAGATCGGATCATATAGGTCAAATTTTGAGGTTTTGTCATGGGTCTGACAACATTGGGTATTTTTTTATTTCACATTAAGCGTTAAGACACTGACATGAGCAGCTAAAATTAACATGTTGCCTGTTGAAAAGAGTGTCAGAGCTCCCAACATTATCCCTGTGATGCTGGAATAATCATTAGACAGAAAAGTAAAACAAGTAAAGATGGAGAAGCTTTTGTTATTAAGCAGACGAGGAAGATGGAATACATTTTCTTTAAGGAGACTGTGCTGATTGTGGATCTGTATTTGGTGGTTTCATATAGACCATAATGACTAGTGGGCTGTTGCTGGCAGTTGTACCTGTAGCACTTACTGTGTTAGCCTGAACCGAAAATTTTCATTTCAGTTAACTCTCGTAAGCTGGAAACAAGTGAAGTGTGATACCTCTAGATTAAACATGTCACACTCACTGCCCTGGCTCTGTTTTGAATAAGCTTTATCATCAACCAGATAGATGCAACTTGACATGTCAATGAACAATTCTCAATGGCAGATTATGGAGATCTTTTGTTGTAAATTCTGCTGTGTATATGGTGTGTTTACTGTGGAAAAATGGTGACCTCACTGTCCCACGTACTCCTTAAATACCTAAAAACAATATTTTGCTACGTATGATGCATGTTTATGTACACAAACTACTAAAGAATATGATGAATGTGTGTTTAGACAACAACTTTTTTTAGATCTTGTTGCTGGTGTTTCACAATAAACACACCTCCCCCCTCTTCTTTGTTGTGTCAGTACCAAAACTGATCTGCTACAGCCTCTACTGCTAGCAAATAGCTGCTAGTTATTATGATCGAAGTAAAACTACTGAATTACTTTGTCCGAATCTTGTCTCTTTACGTTCTCACACAGGCGTTTGTTGCTTTGTGTTCAGCTAATGTAGATCCAGACCAGTGTGAGCCAGACCTCGAACATTTGCACCTCCACTGAAGTTGTTTGAAGCAGCTAGTGTAATCTCAGCCATTCACGCACACTACAGCACCACCCATAGACATTTGCACGCACATACCATGCCGCACATTGACACACTCACGCGCAAACACTCCGCTGCAAAAGAAAATAAACGTTAACCATTAATTTGTCTCCTTCCCCCATCTTGTGCTCTTTTCTCTTTCTTTACATTCATCCCCTCAATGCATTTTGCTCTCTTTATTTTCTCTTTTCTTCCCACTCACATTGTTCACTTTTCTTCTGGAAAATGGCTGTTGATAGATAGATCGTTTAAAAAAAAAAATGGAAAAAAAAAAAAAAGTGGAAAAAAAATACAAAAAAATTGTTGTAATTTTCAACGGTTGTACATTAATACAGAAATAGAGTTACTGAGAGTTTTTAAAACCGGACCCTGCCTCTCGTGTTTTCATTACACACACATACACAAACAGAATTTTAATTCCAATTAATAGGAGTCAAATGAAAGTAATATAGTTCCAAAAGTGTAATAGAGGTGGTTTTTACCATATTATAGGAGGAAATGTGATCAGTCAGTGATTATTTTGGCTTAACAGGATGTTCATATTACACTTTTAAGGAATAACCTCTTCCAACAATAAAACCACTGCAAAAGACTCTGATGTATGCAGAAATAACTTAACTTTTGGATATAAGAGTGCCATGGATCAGGGAAAAATTCTTTACAATTATTGCAGTGTTTTCTATCATGCTGCCCAGCCCTTTAAGATCAAGTACTCAGTGTGCCACTCATTGATTAAACTGGGATTTCAAATCTTGATTTGTGCTACATATGTGAATGATAGAATGATGCATACACACACTGCAGGTGTTATATAAATGTTATTCCAAATATTTAAAATGATTTTAATATTTCTCAACAGTCGCTGCAGTGTTGACGCATGCTGCAGAAACCTAGGCCACCTCTGACATTATCGGATTGACACCATATTATGTACAGGGCCCGGGGTGCCTTCCACAGCCTAATATAGTTAAGTGTGCCAAGATAGTATTAACTGCTCCAGTGCTCTGCCTGACCTTGTGTGTGTGTGTGTGTGTGTGTGCTGTGTGTGTGACCCAATTTTACCTTCACACAGTGACATGGAGTGTGGGGAGGATTGCACCCTCAAGCGTTTATTCCAAAGCAGGGCAGGCAGGCACGTCCTTTTATAAAACATAACATGTCATGGTATTTCTTACATCAACTTCTTAATACGGTATGATCTAGTTTTTGTAGTAGCAATATATTTTTTGCTGCAAAAGAAAAAGAAAAAAAAGTAATGTTAATATTGCAGTTGAAGGATCCACGATACAGTATAGAGTGTAAAAAAAGCAATAAAAATAAAGATAAAATAGAGAAAAACTATAATGGAAATATATACACTATATGCAGTATGCAATAAAGGAATATAGTAAAACATGTTTTACTAACTAAATGATGAAGAGCTGAAGACGCAAAGCATGAAGGGATCTTGAGTTCTGTATGTTTGTAATTTCAAATATAACTTAAATAATCAGCCTGTAAAATAGTAATAAAATTGTTCAGTTACTTTGTAAAAAGAAATAATTTTTTTTCCAAAAATAAAATAATAAAAACTGAAGGGGCGGGTCGGCCGGACGTGACGTCAGTGTCGGAAACGCTGTCAGACGGGAATAATGCACGTGTTGGAGGAGCTGTTGAGAGAACATGAGCGCGGAGCTCTGGCGGGCAGAAAGGCCTGAGAAAGGACACCAAAGCTCTTACACCGACATTTTCTATTAACCAACAACCGGTCCACGTAAATCTCCCGGGCTGCTCAGAGGAGCGCGGAGCAGGACGAAGGTTGGACAGAGAGAGAGAGAGAGAGAGAGAGAGAGAGAGAGAGAGAGACACACGAAGGAAGAAAGTTACCGCTCTCTGTTCCCGGGCCTCTGTGTGTGCGTGCGTGTGTGTGTGTGTGTGTATGTGTGTGTGTGTCCGCACGTTGCCTTTGCAGCTCGTTGAGGTGTTTTCTTATTAAAGACTGAAGAACCGGTGAGGGTAACTCGGACGTGATGGCGGACTACCTGATCAGCGGGCAGACCGGTTACGTCCCAGATGACGGGCTGACGGGACAGCAGCTGTTCAACGGAGGAGACGGACTCACGTACAAGTAAAGACCCCTATGATCATACCCACTCCTCAGCCCCCGAGCTAACCAGGCCAGAGGGGGCCCGGGGCTCGGTGTTTGACGTGTTTTCACCGATTTACCGTTAACTTACTGATGTAATGTTAGTAAGCTATAATGTTGGCTAACACCGTCGGTGTTAGGGAGTGTGGCCAAATAACAGATCTTCCATGTGACAGGAATGGCGGTATATATAAGTCAAATACACACTGTCCCTTGGTTCATGTTTTGCAACAGCCAGTGACAGTTTAATTATTGATTATCCATTATTTGTTTCAATAACACATTTAGCTTCTACGCTTTTTAAACTAATTATCCCCCAGAGAGAGTCAAGCTCCAAAAACACTGGATCCTACTCCTTCCATAATGCGGTCAATAGCATGGTTCACTGTACTGTACAGCTCATACATCAATAATGCTGCTAGTGGTAAACAGAACTTATCACATATTTACATTAGAAGTTACCAGAGGCCAAAGGGGGGTCTTAATGTGAATTTCCTAATAAATATTATGAATAGTTCTGTAGTATAACCCAAAAAATCTTTTCTGCCCTGATTTGGCATCTTAATAATACAATAAAACAGAAGTTACAGGGTGGCTCCACTGTCTGGTGTGGTTATAAGGATAAAATGTCCCTTTTGTAATAACTGTCTGATCGCTGATGGCAGCAGAACACACAAACACGGTTGTATTTTGGCCGCTTTGAACTTTACCTGCAGACAGTTAATTGCTTTCACCTTTTGGCCAAAAGGGATGGTTGGTGAGTAAGGTCTTAAAAAATTATAACACTTGTGTAGTACGGCCTCTTGGAAGTGAAAGAGGGGACACATTCCTTCTGTACACACACTGCTCCCAAATTTAGCTCCTGGCTTACACAGCCCTGTGTTGTTATGGTGGACTGCGTGGACCCGGGCTATATTTGGAGCATGTGCTTGGTCCATACAACAAAGTACAAATAGTAGTGGCGTGTATTGACTTGGTGTTGGCACCTTTTCATGTCCAAAATGTCAAACCCCAAATTATATAGTTGATCAAATCATGACTTCAATGTATTTCTGTATCTATCCATTCTACAAAGTAATGTCTTAAAAAGGCCACCATGCCAGACCTTCTCTGGGTTCAGCTTTTTAAATGTGTTGATTATAACCATGGTAAATTGAATATTGTTTGGGTTTTGGATTCTGTTAAATAACTTTCAGTGCTGTTTTGAGTGAGAGAACACAATATTATCAAAGCAAATGTACGACTATGTAACATGATTTAATTGATTTGGTTTGAATGCTATTCACACTATACTACTGTATTAAAGCATAGTAGTGATCGTTAAATGGCTGACAGTCACTCATCTAACATGCTAGAACACGTGGTTACGCCCTCTCGTCTCACTGTCACATAGGCCTCACTGCCACCCATACGCCACATGCATCGGCATGCCTCGCATTTAAGAAGTTCTCCGCAAAAATATTTCACACTCACACTCCTACTGTGACATGACACCTTCTGCAGATTTCCGAGAAAGAAATGTTAGTCGTGTTATGTCCCGCTCGGGGTAGTTTGAACCCTAATTTTCCATGAATACCTTCCTGTCTATTTCTAAACTGGTAAAATATCGAGCTGGAAAGAATTTACCTAAACAAGCTTACTGAGCTGGACAACTGTTAGGATGGACAGGTCTTGTAAGGATTAAAGATTTCTGCTGCCCTAACATCTTCTTTTCCGTCTCTTTCTTCAGCGACTTCCTGATTCTGCCAGGATACATCGACTTCACATCAGACCAAGTGGTGAGTTGTGATGAAAGACACATATTTACCAACGCATAAAATCTGATTAACACCGCTGTTGTGGTATTAAATTAATCTGAGTCGGGGATGATGTCCGGGGTGAGAGTGAGGATTATCAGCTGTGTGCCTCCCATCACACACATTCCCTGAATTAGGCTCACAAGGGCCTCCACAAGCCAGAGCAGTAAATTATGGCTTCCCAGAATTTGAAGTTGATCCTGGTATTTTTAATTTTAAGTTTCGCTGAAAGCTGCTTTGAAATATCCTCCTTATGTGTTTTGTCCAGGACCTGACCTCAGCGCTCACCAAACAGATCACCATGAAAACTCCCTTTGTCTCCTCTCCCATGGACACTGTCACAGAGGCCAACTTGGCCATCGCTATGGCAGTAAGTATGACGCATAAACACACAGTTTTCTTTTGGATTGTGAGACTGTTTTTGTTCCTGCTATCACATTAGCGCAGTGTCACGCTCGCTCACTCACTCATGCTGATGTATTGTCTCCTCCCAGCTAACAGGTGGCATCGGCTTCATCCACCACAACTGCACTCCAGAGTTCCAGGCTAATGAAGTTCGCAAAGTCAAGGTAGTGATGATGATTGTCTGTACGGTTTTATTTGCTCTTTACATTCCTTCATCCCTTCTTCCATTCTTTCATTTCGTTCATCTCATTATCTTTTGTCTCTTCTTTTATTAAAGGTTTATTATCCCTATCTGTTTCTCCTTTATTTCATCTGTTTTTCATATTATGATTTTTTTTTCTTTTTTCTCTATTTTCTAAACATGTTGATTTTTTTTTCTTTCATCGGCTTCTCTTTGTCTTTCTCTATTTGTATTTGTTGCTGTCAGTTTGAAAGGTGTAGAAGCATGTTTTTTCCCTGCATCCCTTGCTTTTCTGCTCTAGTGTAGGCAGTGAAATGTTCACATATTCTTTATCCGACCCTCCCTTACTGAATCCCCTACACACTTTTCCCTGCTGTTACTCCCCCTATTCCTCGGCTTCCCTTTTATACTTTTGTTCTACAACACTGCTCCTTCTCCTGCCTGTCTTTATCCTCCTCACCCCTCCTGTTCCTCACCTCCTTCCTCCAGCGTTATGAGCAGGGCTTCATCACAGACCCTGTGGTGATGAGCCCCAAAGAGCGCGTACGGGACGTCTTCCAGGCCAAGGCTCGCCACGGCTTCTGTGGAATTCCCATCACGGACAACGGCAAAATGGGCAGCAAGCTGGTAGGGATCATCTCTTCCAGAGACATCGACTTCCTGAAGGAGGAGGATCACGACCTACCACTGAGCGAGGTGGGTGGACTCGAAACATAAGCCAGAAGTAATAAAAAAGTACCATGATACATATTGATATTTTAATGGGAAACATTACAGACTAGTGTTGTCACAAGAACCGATACTTCAGTACCAAGTCAATGCCAAAATTCTGGTACTCGTTTTTCTACAGCACGGTAGGGTATGCAGTTCTTACAGACCTGACGGGACAGTATAAACGCTGCAATTAGCCAGGCTCAAATTTAAATAAATCTGTTTAGAGCTGCAACGATTTGTTGAATAATTTAGTAGTTTTTAGAATTGATTTATCATCTTGCTCATTTTCCAAGCAAAAATGCCAAACCCATTCCAGGTTTTAGCTTCTCAAATGTGAGGGTTTAGTTTTGTTATGATAGTAAACTAAATATCCTATATGATGACATAAACGTGGGCTGTGAGAAATAACTATATTAGTAAAATATACTATATATAACTATTTTACTTACATTTTATAGACTAAGCGATTAAACAGTCAAGAAGATAATCTTGTTAATGTGTTCCAGAGGAGAGAAGAAGTGTTGGAGATCTAATTGTAACTTGTCTAATTTGTTAGTCATGTTTTTTTTTTTTTTTTAAGGTTTTTTTTAACAGATGATCTGTTTTCACTGTTACTCTCTGAAACCTTTGCACTGCATTTTGATGCATCTTTCATTTACGTTGTGTGTGTTTCACTGACAGGTGATGACAAAGCGAGAGGATCTGGTCGTCGCCCCTGCTGGAGTGACGCTGAAAGAAGCCAATGAAATCCTCCAGAGGAGTAAGAAAGGTGAGGAGGATGTTACATTTATTTTTCATTACAATTATTCATGACTCACATGACTTTTTAGGAACCCAAAAGAATCATTTAATTTAAAATCTGACATAAATGGAATTACCTACTTCATCAGGTGTGAATGTCTGCATGTTTAACCTCTCTCCTGTCCTCCTGCAGGTAAACTGCCTATAGTGAATGAAGAGGGCTCCCTGGTGTCCATCATTGCCCGCACAGACCTGAAGAAGAACAGGGACTTCCCTCTGGCCTCCAAAGACTCCCGCAAACAGCTTCTGTGTGGTGCCGCCATCGGCACCCATAATGACGACAAGTACCGACTGGACCTGCTAGCACAGAGCGGGGTGGATGTGGTTGTACTGGTAAGTAGGGATGCACGATATGGATTCTTGTTTCAGCCCATATGATAACTGATAATTACCTGCTTCTCATGGAAGATATCAATAAGATTAAAACCATTTAAAAAAAAAAAAAAAGAAGTTTAGACCCTGGAGTTTTTACACACTTGAGGTAATAAAGGTAAAAATGCAGTGAAAAAGATGGATGATATTCCATTGCTCTGTACTAACCAGATCTAACTGACATCACTATTGTTTACACATCAAAAACAAACAGTTGTGACTCTTCAAATGTTTATTTCATTGAAAAACTTTGCAAACATACTTCAACATATCAATAATTTTGCATAAGAATTCAAAATAAATGATTGTAATGTAATTTAATTCTCCCGATAATTTAATATAATATAAATTTTGGTTTTAAAAAAATTGGGTTTAAGTGATTTCAGCTTCATTACTGAGAAATGAGTACTGGAACTGCTGGTGGGAGACAGACTGCCAGTGAGCTCTTTCACAGATTTGTAATGTATTAACTGGGTTTACTTGTGTGGCAATAGTGGTGTGCACATTGCCTGAGGTATTTGGATACACAATAGACTAGATATCAAAACCAACTAAGCAGAGTCTGTCAGAGTCACTTAAATTTACCGCTGCAGTAAGGACTCAGCCTTTGTACATGGGTTGCCAGCTCTACTAACTGAGCTAACCGGGCGCCCGAGAAATGATGTTTTTGATAAAGATCTGTGTGGGAATAAAACCTTGATCTCTCAACTGTGGGAGCAGATTTAATGGTGTGCAGACTCCTTTGATTTCAACTGGATTCACTGCATTTAATTTAGATGTTAGGTTGTCTACCTGCTGTGAAATTTACAAAATCAGAGTAACAGTGTTTTGTTAATATTTATGTGTTCTTCTGTACCTCCAGGACTCGTCTCAGGGCAACTCAATCTTCCAGATCAACATGATCAAATATATCAAAGAAAAGTATCCCAACCTCCAGGTCATCGGAGGCAACGGTAACTACATTTATCTTTACCTACGCACCGACATGTGTAAAATAACCAGAAAAGATATTCCCATTGTATATCTGCACTTGTCATTGACCTGTTAATAGTTAATCCAAATCATATCGTGAAGAAAAAGGGGAAGCATGCAGATCTGATATTTGTTATCAGCTGTGACTGCAAAGTGATCAGCTGTGTCATGTTTCTCAGCCAGAGAGCTTGTTAAGTGTCCACAACAGCTTCCTTCCTCTGTGCCTCAAAGGCTAATGACAAGTTGTAATGGCTAATTGATGAGATGGCTCACAGTTAGAGCTGGATAATGACAAATGTTCTCTCAGTGTGTACATCTCTGATGGCCTCTCTGTCTCCCCCTATCTGCTGCAGTGGTGACTGCAGCTCAGGCTAAGAACCTGATCGATGCAGGAGTGGACGCACTGAGAGTGGGGATGGGCAGTGGCTCCATCTGCATCACACAGGAAGGTGAGTGACCTGCAAACTCAACAAACACCACCAGCCTCACTCCCACCTTTGCAATAGAAAGCGGATAATATATATCCGCTTTGTTTGACCAATCCTAACGTTGGGACCAAACCACATGATATCAGATCCTTAATGACACGAAAACGATTGTTTGGTTCAACGGTTTGTTGTTTTATCTTGCGTATTGTGTCTCAGTGGAAGGACTCCTCGGGAGTTTCAGGTGGAAAGAATGTCATCTCTCGTTTAGTCTGATGTCTGAGGTGCTCTGTGCTTTGTGCAGTGTGTGTTGACATTTCTGATCTCCAAAGATTACTTTTCAAATCATGCAGGTTGTTAAAGAAGACAAGCTATGATTGGTCGAGGTTCAGTGTTAGTCATGTTTTATCAGGAACTAGGATTGCCTGATGTGACAGAGAACAACTGTGGTTGGTTACATTATGCAATAAGGGTTGTTGTGAGTCAGTAGTCAGGAAAATTAAGCTGATTTGAATTTCAACTATGGTGTGAAAACAGCTAGGTTTTGGATTTATTATATTTATTTGAATTATTAATTTAGTGGTGATCTGTCCGGCATAGTTAAGAAGTCTACAGTAGATATTTCTGTTTCTCGTTGTCTCTGACTTATCTCTTCATCCTGATGAATTGCTCTCAGATCATTAGCAATATTTGTACTTGTTCATTTTCTTTTGCTTACTGTTTTCTTCACTCTTGTCTGTCATCTTCATCTTGTTGCCTTCCTACCTTCCTCCTCTCCTCCCCTTAAATTCTCTCCCTCCCTGGTGTCTGTACGGTGTGTGTTTGTTTGTGGGTGAGTGTGTATGTGTATGTGTGCGCCCTTGTCTAGCTCCCCCCAGTGTACCACCAGCAATAAAGCTCCACAGCCCCAAAACCCCAACCACTGTTACGGGATACTCCAGTAAGTTTCCGTTGGCCTTTGCTGGGCTCTCATTGGCTCCACTATCACTAGTGTGCCCGCCCCTTCAACTTCACAGCCTGCTGCATTGATTGGTTAACAGCTTTGCATTGGTAGAAGTAGCAGAGGTAGTGGTACTAGGTTTTTGGTTTGTTTTGAGAACTGGCCTTGGGGGGGTTTTGGGGTTTTGCTTGTTCCTGCGTCCTCACTAATCTGTCACTCATCCTGAGTGAGTGTTGCTCCTCCTCCACCCACTTTACTGACCTTTTGGACTCTTGTGTCCTTTGGTTGCCTATGGATACCATTGGTCAGATGGTGGCTGTTCAAACCCTCTGTGTGCTGCTTCTGTGGCAGGATTGCGACCCCACCCATCATTGTATCAGCTGTAGACCACAGCTACCATCCATTCCTAACACACAGCATTGGAACGAGCAAACAGCGGAGTGGCTCAGTAATGTAGCTGGCAGCCACAGGGTGTCTCTGTTTAGCAGAGGTGGTAACCCTGGTGAGCTGGTTGGGACCAGGCAGGCTATATGTGAGTTGGCAGCTTTCCTTCAGGACTTTAATGATCATAATGAATCATTATTCAATCTCTTTGTTCAGCTGTTTGTTCCATAATCTAATTTCTGTGTCTTATTTTCTAATAGTCAACATAGCATACAGACATGCAGTTGCCCAAAGTTGATGAAAAATGTACTGCCAATTTGAATTGTTTCAACTGAAGTGGCATACTTTTGACTTGTAGCATGGCTCTATGAGAGGATGTACCAGCGCTCAGCTGCTGTGTGTAGTCTTGGCAACATCAGGGCTGAAAAAGGATGAGGCGTTTCTACATCTTTGGCTTTGTTGTATGTGTTTTTTATTTTGCTTTGATAATGCACAGAACAGTAAAAAACATGACCATGATTTGTAGCTTGAACATAGTGGACTGTAGTTTATAATCGCATATATGTATGTCATAACACATTTCCCTAAAGAAAGCAAAAGTAGCAGCACTGAATTCTAATTTCGAAGTCCCTTCAGCTACTGTAGTTCAGTATTAGTTACAATCCATTTTTTATATTTATAGTTGACATTGTTTTTTCAGCAATTACCAGTCATTGTATTTACATTCTATAATACCTCTCTATATGGTAGTTTTAATTTTCATTCCTAAATTGCCCACTTGTGCCTTTCTACAACATGAGTTTGCTGTGTTACGCTGTAAACAAATAAAATTCTGGGACCTGAAGTATTCAACTGTACTTTCAGACACCGTCAGTTATCCACGGGTACTGCCAAATCAACCAGTTCTAAAATGTAAAAGGATTTTAACTATAAAGATGCTAATAAATTATACAAAGAGCCCTTTACAACATTTCCTCTTGATGGTGGCCATGTTTATATGGCAGGACACTTAGGATTTCTGGTTTGGTAAGTACCGCACAGCCCTCAGTTCACAGGAAGCAAAACAACCCTACGAGTAAAAAAGGAATTGGGAGTTTCTCTTTGTTGTAAATGTGTAAATTTGAGTGTCAATGTCTCATACTTTATTATTAAGATTATTGGTGGAAATCCTAGGCCTGTAATTTGAACTCCGTTGATTAGCAGTGTTTGGCTGATAGAAATGGCATACATTATGTGAGACGGGTGTGGAGTGTGTGCGGTGTATTTGTCTGCTGATGTGACAAGTTTAACTTCCTCATTCTTTCATTTCTTTAACAAACACGACATTAGAAAGAGTCACGTTCCCAGTCTGTCTGCTCATTCACTGTATGCGTTTTCTTTTCTTTTTTTTAACATCACTTGAACCACTGGGAGTTTCCACCATGCATGTGTATCAGAACTGAACTTTGTGATTAGTTAGGAAGTTTTTGATGCCCGTTTATAAAATTCAGCCAGCTGATTCGCTGGTGAAGACAAAAAAAGCAACATTTTATTTATTTATTTATTTGAATTACATAATCCAACAATTTTTAGCTTTCAGTCATGAAGAGACTAGAAACATGTAGTTAAGATGACCAACTTCAGCTGTACACATTTTCTCACATCATTTAATCCTCCTGTCTGTCCTCTTCCTCCCCTCAGTGCTGGCGTGTGGCAGACCCCAGGCCACAGCTGTCTATAAGGTATCGGAGTATGCCAGGCGTTTCGGTGTGCCGGTCATCGCTGATGGCGGCATCCAGACTGTCGGGCACATTGCCAAAGCCCTGGCACTGGGAGCATCGACAGGTATGGATAGATAGGTGTTTCAGAGTCAGTGTGCAGCCGTTCATAACTGATTTCAGGTTTAAAGATGAGTTTTTAGTTATTTTTGCTGTGGTTCAAATGTGGTTTAAAAACAGGATTATAATTTGAAAAGTAACTTTTCAGATTGAGATTATGTAGTTTTTCCCCACTTTATGGCTTTCAGTGGTCTTCTAGCTGAGCTTCCACATACTAACTTCTCTTTCTGTGTCCAGTGATGATGGGCTCTCTGCTGGCGGCCACCAGTGAAGCTCCTGGTGAATATTTCTTCTCTGATGGCATCAGGTTGAAGAAATACCGTGGCATGGGCTCCCTGGATGCCATGGACAAAAACCTGGGCTCCCAGACCAGATACTTCAGGTACAGAAACACAAAAACTGAACCGAGGGACGGTATTGTTCAAATTGATCAGAGTTTGTAGTTGGGTAACGGCCCCCTAGAAGTGACTGACTGCAGGATAAATCACAACAATTCAGGGGTCTCACTCTCATCCCGAAAAAAAAGCTGTTTCCTTCTACACGCTGTGGCCATGTCTCACAACCATGCCATTTGAGACTATTTTGTGCCAGTTTTCCCCAGATGACAACACTTCCTCATTTGATTTTCAGTGGTTTTCAGAACATTAGACATTACTGCCTTGTGGTGGGGGCGACAAATGAGCCCACTAGAAAAGCTGAGTGGTAGATATTTTACTTTAATAGTTTTGAGAAATCTTTGGTTTAAAGGGTAGGTATTGCAGCACTCTCAAAAGGGAGTGTTCAGAAGACAATCTTATAGATCAAATCATTAGCCACAAGGTGGCAGTACACAGGTTGTACACTATCATCTGCTTTAAATGCCAGCGAGAGACAAGGTACATCATAACTGTGCACTCTTTCCATGCCACTAACTTCCTCATCTGAGCACTGACTCCTGTTTTCCCCTTCTCTCCCCTCACAGTGAGTGTGATAAGATTAAAGTTGCTCAGGGTGTTTCTGGAGCGGTGCAGGACAAAGGCTCCATCCACAAGTTTGTTCCCTACCTGCTGGCTGGCATTCAGCACTCCTGTCAGGACATTGGATCGAAGAGTCTCTCACAGCTCAGGTAAAAACACAGGCAGACAGACAGTTACGTAAAACTGCATTCAGCCCTACTGAATTCTAATTATAATGTCATGCAGTATTTAATTGTTATATATAAGCTTCATGAAAGCCTAGACTAATAACTGGTGTCAGAAAAATATACTCTGGTCTCTTTATTAGGTACACCAGATATACATGAGTGGGGGGGCAGAATATTATTAACATCTCTGAATGTAAAACAGTCCAGTACAATGCCGCCACTCTGTCCTCAATGCTAAAACATGACTGAACTAACACCACATAAATTAAGCATCAACAATCTTAACACATTTGTACAGTTAGCTGACATACAGCATACTTTTATTTCATACTGTTTTATTCTGACCAGTATTAATCTGAGCTTTTATTTAGTTGGAATAAAACTATTTAACACCTCCCCATATTGGATGTAGGAAGCTCTGCAGTATTTCTCCCCCTTTCTAGCCACAGTAGCGGTGTGGCTGTGGGGATGGCCGCTAGTATGGCTGTAGGATCTTAACTGTCCCAAATCCTTACCACACTGTTTCTAGTGTTCACTAGTTCTACGTAAACAGGGTGTTCACACTGGAAAAGTGACACTCAAGTGACCTTCCAACTTTTGATGGACTTTGCACATATTATCATTTCCTGGTTAGTATAAAGTACAAGCATGTACTTGCCTGGTATTCTTCCCCTCGTGCTTGTGTCAAACTGTTATTTCTTCCCCTCAATGTCTGTAACAGCATTTTCTTTCCTCCTGGCAGAGCCATGATGTACACTGGAGATCTGAAATTTGAAAAGAGAACAACATCAGCTCAAATGGAGGGAGGAGTTCACAGCCTGCACAGGTACACACACACACACACACACACACACACACACACACACACACACACACACACACACACACACACACACACACACACACACACACACACACACACACACACACACACAGGTGTTTCTTCAACACAGATCCACTCAACTAAGTAGGTATGACTTTGTTGTTTTGTTTGGTTTCATATTCCATCATCTTAAAAGTTCAGTTTAGTTTCACGTCTCGCCCCCAACCACACAAGCCTTCAGTCAGACTTCCTCTTTAGCGCCTCCAGTCTGTTTAACAGGAAACCTCAGGGAGCATCATGGATAGCTGTGTGATCTTTTCCCCGCTGACCGACTCTCTTGTTTTCCTGCAGTTATGAGAAACGTCTATTTTGAGAAGAAGCCAGCCGTTCAGCCTACAGATGGAGAATCCTTCCAACAGACATTATGCAAACACGCTACTTGCCAGACCCTCTTCTATTCATACTCTGCACACGCACAACTAACTTCTCATACAAGTGAAAAGATAAGCTCAAACACTATGCTCTTCCAAGGATCCATCAGTCTTCCTGCCAGGCTCATCTATGCATTATCTGTCTTTAGTATAGCTGTTGGTGTGTGAAGGAGGGAAACTAAGCATTTATCAATCAGTGCACGTGTGATTGAGTCCTCTCCAATGCCGTTCATGTTGTGATGAAATAAAATGTCTGGTGTGTCCAATTTAAGGCAAAAAAGGTTGTCCAATAATAAAGCTTATGTTTTTCCACAAGCTGTTGTTGTTTTTTATGTGTCTACTAGTTTGAGACATTTTTGAAGATTTGCTGTTTCAGATATAAATTCTACCAAGTTGAGAATACAATGGAGACCATTTATCACCTGATACTGCTGGATTCTCATGTTGCCTGCAGAGGAGAAGCATATCCCAGGAAGACGTGCTGCAGCTTGTGGTGTCTAATGAGAAACGGTCATCCTCAACAACCACAAGATCTAGTTTCTGCACGGGAGAAAATCCTCTATTTTAACTTCCTGTTTTTAAGCTGTGACTATTATCCATTTAATCTTTTATTAAATTGGGCATTGATTAAACATTATCATACATATATATTATATATTTTGTTTTTGATGAGCAGACCTAACAAAAACTACCGGCTCGAGTTCCAAATATATACAAATATACAAAAACTACTGGCAGACAGAGTCACACCTATGAATATCTATAATAAACCTTGTAGGTTTTATAATTTCCTAGTTTCTTGGAAAAAAGTAGTTTAAGACGTTTGATAAAATACTAAAAAAAACTGACTGATCCATTTTAACTGAAGTAAATATTACCATAATTATTGTTGTTTGCTTGATTTTTCAAACTAATACATCTGGAACAAATAGGTTTTACATGTTCCGACACTGACTAAAATATTCTCTATTTTGCACTAGCAATTACTAACAAAACTTTCTATTTTAAGGAAATAAATGAATAGTCAACTGCATTACAGTTTGCATTTTGATCATTTAATCTGGTAAAACAAAGCCTTAAAGTAAGCTTTTAAAGGACACAGGAACTAAAAGTCAGTGACAGCCTTTATGTCAGTATTCACTTGAGAGAAGTAGAAACCCAGTTTGTTGCCAGTCTCATAGCAATCAGATAACACTGCATTAACTGTGAATTACTAAAGTACATTCAAGGACAGCGTGTGAGCGTAAGCTGGGTTTCAAGCGGCCATCTTCTCTCCACCTACAGTACCTCACCTCCCTGCCTCCCTCCTGTTAGAGCTCTCTGGGGAGGATCCGGTATTTGGTCAAATCCACCGGACTTTCCAGGTTGAAAACCAGACATGCTGTTGGTCACACCTGTCTCCCATCCTGCCACACGCAGATGTTTCTAATTAACACACAAGGAAGGAGTCAGTTTACCTCAATTAGCACAACTGAAAGATCAGGGTTTTACATGTGATTCATGGAATAATATTACCAACACTGGTGTTTTTAAAAATGTCTAGGTTGCATAGAACTCATTTAAATTAAATGACTATATTTCAGTTTTGTAACTAGCCATTAAAATATATTATCATTGAAATGCTGTTGAAACAGTAGTTATATGTCTAAAAATCTCACTTTTCAACCATATTTAGCCTATTTATTATTTTAAAAATATTTTAGGTGACTTTCAGGATGCAAATCACCAAATGAAAGCTTACAGGGAACCATTGCTGTTACGGCCTCTACTCTACTGTCAATACTGTGATTGTGACTACTATTACAGTTCTTCTCATTCGCTTTGGCTCAATTCTTGAATGAGAATTGTTATTTTAAAAATAATAATCTAATAGTTAAAAATAGTTTGAATTTCACAACGGATTTTAGTTTTGGCACGTGTGCAAGAAGTGCAATTTATATTCTGCAAACTCTCATTTCAATTACACAACCTTGTGTTGTATAATGATAAATACATTTGATATTATTCAAATATCTATAAATTACCTGTCAGATGACAGTAATGAACTAGGAATCAATGTACTATGAGGAAGTACGGTTTGTAAAACTGCAGGTTTTTTTCATTGATGAAAGGGGAATTTCCAGTTCGCAGTACATAACACATTCAGTTCAATTCAATTCAATTTTATTTGTATAGCGCCAATTCATAACAGAAGTTATCTCAGGACACTTTTCAAATAGAGCAGGTCTAGACCGAAGTCTTTATAACATTATTTACAGAGACCCAACAGTACCACCATGAGCAAGCACTTGGCGACGGTGGCAAGGAAAAACTGCCTGTTAAAAACCTAGGACAGACCCTTCGGCTCTAGGTGGGTGGTCGTCTGTCTCGACCAGTTGGGGAGAGAGAGAGAGACACAGAGACAGAGTCAGAGACAGACAGACAGACAGACAACTACACTAATAGTAGTGACTGATGATGATGAACATGACAACAGCAACGATGGGGGACAATGAGCAGTGACAACAGCAACAACAGTAACCGTAGCTATAATAATACTTAATAATAATAATAACACTAATATCAGTGATATTAGCAATGGCAGTCAAGCATGACCATGGCAGGAGGCTCCACCAGGATCCATGAGAACCTGCGAGACGAGAAAGAACTCCGGAAAGAATGTGAAGTTAGTAACATACATTAATGGGACATAAATAAGTGGAGAAAGAGCGAGGAAGAGAGGAGCTCAGTGCACCATGGGAAATCCCCCGGAACCTTGTGGAACTCGATGATTAACTGTAGTATTTATTGAAGATTCATCGTTAACATGTACAAACTGCGAACGATCTGATAAATATGACTTAAACCAGCTTAGTGCGGATCCTTTAATGCCAATTTGATGCTCAAGTCTCTGTAAAAGAATATCATGGTCAATGGTGTCAAATGCAGCACTAAGATCTAATAATACAAGTACAGAGACAAGTCCATTGTCAGAAGCAGTCAGAAGGTCATTATTAACTTTAACCAGAGCTGTCTCTGTGCTATGATGAACTCTAAATCCTGACTGAAAATCCTCAAATAAACTATTGTTATGTAGAAAGTCACACAACTCTTTGGCGACTACTTTCTCCAGAATCTTAGAGAGGAAGGGGAGGTTAGAAATCCGTCTATAGTTGGCTAAAACCCCTGGGTCAAGAGTGGGCTTTTTAAGAAGGGGTTTAATTACAGCTACTTTAAAGGACTGTGGTACATATCCTGATAATAAAGAAAGATTAATCATATCCAGTAAAGAAGTGTCAATTAAGGGAACAACTTCTTTAAGCAGCCTAGTTGGGATCGGGTCTAATAGACAGGTTGATGGCTTTGATGTAGAAATTACTGAAGTTAACTGATGAAGATCGATAGCAGAGAAACAGTCTAAATATATATCTGAGTTTACATTAGTTAAAGTTCCTGAACTTAGAGAGCCACTGATAACTGTTGATGGCAGTTGGTGATTAATTTTTTCTCTAATAGTAATAATTTTATTATAGAAGAAGCTCATGAAGTCATTGCAACTTAAGTTTATGGGGATATGTGGCTCAATAGAGCTGTGACTCTCTGTCAGCCTGGCTACAGTGCTGAAGAGGAACCTAGGGTTGTTCTTATTTTCTTCTATTAGTGCTGAATAATATGCTCCTGTGGTGTTATGGAGGGCCTTTCTATAAGTTTTAAGATTATCTTGCCAAATTGAGCGATATTCTAATAATTTCGAAGAGCGCCATTTCCTTTCAGATTTCCTAGCTTTTTGCTTTAATTGGCGGGTTTGGTGGTTGTACCACGGTAATTTCCTTTTTATAGGAGCGATAGAGTCTAATGACATGTAACACATTACTACACAAAAACATTTACTGTGTACAAACAAAAGTGCATATCCTTTTTACGTGTACGACAGTATTGTACGGCAAACTTTTACCAACTGCTGAAATCTGAATAAAAGCAGTCAGTGTCAACAAAAAAAAACAAGCAAACAAGATTTGTATATGAGAAACATTTCCAGGGTTGGCTGCCTTGGTGAAAAAAACATTTTGCATTTGGCTCACATGATGACATTATGACAATAAGCCGGTTTTGAAGCATGAATAAAATGTTTTAGGCGAGTTACAACCTTTCGCAGTAGACTTGTGATGTCCCATGGTGCTCTTAGAATTTAGAGTATGTTAAAACAGTTTGACATGAGCCAAAGCAAATGAGAAAAACTGTAATGTAAAACAGCACTACTACCATTACTGCAACTATTACAATACTTACTAGCAGCACTAGACAATCTATTACTACTACTAATACTCCTAATGGTAATGAGTGGTTTTTGGGTGACCGCATATGTAAAGGCAGACTTTACATTAACTGTGTGTAACAATTAAAAATAGCATGGAATTTAATGAAAACTGTCTAAAGTACACAGAGAACATTTTGTGTAAAATAAATTTGTTTTGGAAGCAATAGTCCTGGTCAATAAAATAACTACAAACAGTTAAGTTTGAGACCAAAAAACATAAACACTAAAGGCAGGATTGGACCAAAACTACATAAATACTTTTAGAACCTGATTTTCTACCAAATTCCCAAGACGGAGATTCATTGACAGAACTATGGAAATTATATTTACTTACTTAAATATAATTTCATAAATAATATAATGGACATTTAGAGTAAAGAATGAAACCAGGCAAATTACAAATAAAGGAAAGTACTGTATTGTATTGTACAGGTGAGCTTCAGTCACAGAAAATAAAAACTAATAATGATAATAGTTGACCCAGTGACAAAAAAACTAAACAAAAATAAAAAATGTTCGTACGTAGCCACACAGATAGATCTGCTTTTATTATTTTTGTTGAGTGAACCGACCTTTTTGTTTTATAAAATGTACATCGATTAAAATCTTGATGTCAACCAGAGCGGACATGTAACAACTGGCAGGGACACACTGAACTGACTACATACAGCTCAGTCAAGGTGCACATATCACACAACCCTTTAGACAAACAGGGATCACTTTACATGAACTGATTTCATTTCACTTCTCTGTCCTTAAGTTATTAAAACAGGAGTATATAACTGTCAGAATACCTTATAGTATAGAAACCTTAATATATGAAACCTTATATTCAAATGAAACTTAAACAGTTCGGTTTGAATAAGACAAAGAAAGAGAAACTCCACGGGCAAACTGAGTGCTTTTTGATAACAAACAAGCAGGTAAAATGACTAAATGTGAGCATGTATGTTCTCCTGAAGCGTATTTGGAACAAAGACAGTTTAAAAAAAAGAAAAAAAGGATAGTAGCTGTCGTCTCTCCAGCAGGGAGAGGAGCCGGGGAGTGGGTGGACAAAGGAAGGAAAGGAGGAGTTTTGTCTGGTCAGGAGAAGTGAAAGTGAAATGAATCTCTAGAGTATTTAAAGAGGAAGTTTGGACTGTCGGAGCTGTTGGCCGACGGGACAACAGAGGAGGACACTCTGCTCTGAGATGTTGGTGAGAACTTTTACACATTATTTTACAAACTTCATCATGACTGTGAATAACTGCTGCTACAGTCTTTTTTGGCAGCTCCTGGTGTACTTTCACTTTGCTTTCACTCTGCTGGCTTTGTTAAGTGCCTGACCTCACTTCACCTCTCCTTCTCCTCGTTTGACTTCTTACTTTCAAACTTTGTACTCACATCCTCCTCATAAAACCTTGTTTTACTGCTTGTAATGAATGTGTTTGTCCCATCATTCGTCTAAAGAGCCTCCAGGCTTCCCGATCAAGGGTTGAAGTATGGATGACAAACTGAAAGCATTTGGCAGCCTCTCTCTCTCTCTCTTTCACCAACTGCCTCTTTCCTTCCAGGGTTTAGTTCTCATTTTTCAGGGGTTTTTCGAGGCTTTTGAGGACATGAGAAATGAATGCAGCTTTAAATCAGTGTCTGAAAGCTACTTTAATCTCCACAGGAAGAGCCCAATGATTGTAAATCTCTTCCTTCATTTTTTTTTCTCAGCTCTCTCCTTCCCTTTATCGTTCCATCAGCTCTTCCTTGTCAGGCTGACCTCCGGTGCCCTGTCTTGCTTGCTCTCTTTCTTTTTTTCCACAGTTGATACACAACAGGTTTTTCTAGATGTTGCACTTATACAAAGGGCTATTTATAAGTGTGTTACTGATTTCATCTGCTGAAATCTTCTTGGTTTAAAAATGTTAAACTTTCTTAAAATTGTCTGTTAACCCGGCGTTAAGACCAGTGTTGGACTTCACAAACAGACTTTTAAGGATGCAAAAAATGTACCAATATTTCCTTAACATTTCATCTTTTTAATGAAAAGTGCCTTTGTTATTAGAAAAATTTGCTTAAATTTAAAACAAAATGAGCAATAACTTGATGAATATATTTTCTTAAGATGAGAATACCGTTCTGTTTTATGTGAGAAAAACTAACTGTACTTACATTGTAAGTCTTTGGTTTCCCTCAGGAGTGAGTTAAGTTACAGCTGAGTGGATGGATGATTTTTAATGTCTTGTTTTTTGTTACACTTCAACCCAGTGAACCTCAGGCCTGCTGCTGTAAAAATTAGGCTTTATTGTTCAATAAAAGAGCTGAAAAATAACAGAAATCATTTCTAAGCTAAACCAAGAACGAACAAAAGAAAAGGGCATCCAAAGTGTTCCAGTCATTTGTCAGTTAAATGTGTTTTGTCCTTTGATTTATGAGCTGAGCTTTATATACAACTCAAGGAAAAAGGGTTTCCATTGATGTGAATGTAGTTACAACCACAGCTTACAGAGCTGCACTGATTGGTTGAGCTAATCGAATGAGTCGATAATACGTGTTATTACTGCACTGAATTATTTAACTCAACTGTTTGCTGCTCATTCCGTCTCACATTGGAAACAACGCTGATATACAATTTGTTGAAATCATGTAGCAGGTAGTTAGACTTCTCTGAAAGGAAGAAAAGGGAGATTTGTTTTCACTGGTTTATGGTAAGTCACCAAAGATAGATATCCTTTCACACTTTTTCAAAAGCATGCTACTCGTTACTTTGACTAGCTGCGACTAAGAGCTGATTGTACCTTTTCAAATTCTTGCAGATCAAACCGTAACATTTTGATCGATAGTCACACTCATTCACATTTTCTTCCCTTTTAGTAACCATTTCTTTTTCTTCTTAGCAGTGTTTACCTGACCAGACTGAGCCCGGATCTGAAGCTCGTTTTGGTGGGTGGGATTGTAACGGAACCCATAATGCAGCTGTGATTCTGAGCTCCAGCTGGTTATGGGGTCCGTTTCCATCCCACAATGCACAGGACATCATGAGCGGACGGGCTGATATGGAGCTTCCTCCTTCCTGCCACACATCATTCATCAAATTCTCACTTTTCAACGGCAGATGACATTTTTAAAAGTCAGCTTCTGTTCTTCTATTGAAAACTTTATTGTTCCATAAATTTAAAACAGTAAAACACTGGTAACAGTATAAAAGTATATACAGTAAAAACACACATTCCAGCTGACTGAGCCACGAGTATAAAACCAAAGGTCTGATTCACTATTTCAAGTTCAGATACTTTACTTTTGTTTCTCTCAAATCGCTAAAGAAAGTGAAACTAACCAGTAAGGCCAGTGTTGAATGCTGTGTTGCCGTGAACAGGACATACTGGAGTGTAACGCGTGAAGTTCAGTTGTCTGACGTCACTGCCTGATGCACAAGGTGTTTTTCCTCAATGACACGTTTTCTCCCGGATTGCTGACAACAGTAAACGCAACCGGGAATTTCGTGTCAGCCAAGAATGACACCCAGAACAGCGACTCGAGTGCCGACTGATAGACTACTGTTTGTAAAGTGCACCACTATGTTTTATGTTTTTTTCTGTATTTAAATTGCATTTAAATGGATATTTCTAATAAATCTCAGAATACACATCAGTTACTGTGTATATTTTTCATACAATATCCATCACCGTACATTATATGTGACCTGTGCTACAAATCTTCTACTACAGCGTTTCAGTGGTATACTGTATATAGCTTACTCTGGTTTCCTTCCCCTCTGGGTGACACAGCTGAAACATGACATTTACATCAATGTTTGACACAGCAACGCTCTCTCTAAATGCCACATGTCAACAATGTTACACCCACTGAGTCCAGTTATTATTAGGTGAAGTCACACTTTAGAACAGCTCTTACAGCCTAATGATACCTACTGAAAGCAAATGCTTAGTAAATAGTTTACTACAACAAAAGGCTGCAGCAGCCGGTGTGATTGGTTTCGCTTTTGTTGAGGAGTCCTGTTCACTGTTTGCACCGTCATGCTCAGGTGAGGTGGCAGAAGAGGTACAGTACATCCATCCATCCATCCGACAAATGCCACATTACATTTTTATGGGGACTCATTTCTTTCTACATTCACACTGCAGGTGTTAAGTTTCCAAATTCTCATTTTCAGGCTCACATGACACAGATCTGCTCTGATTCACACATTCAGAGATTTTAAAAGCATGTTTTGAGTCAGTAGAGTCACATATACAGTATATAATAATGTCTTTATATGATTGGTTTTGTTTTGACATGCTCTACACCACTGGTTCTCAAACTAATCATACCACTGGTGGTACGCGAGCTGCCTCTACCGGTTCAACAATCTCTGAAATATACATTTGAAAAAAAGACATTTAATTTAAAAACATAACACTGACTCAAAATACTACAAAATTTGGGATGAAAATACTAAAAATATGAGATTGCTGAAATGGTTTTTTAAACAAATGTTGCCTTTCCCGCAATATTTTGGTTACAATATCAGCCTGCTATGTAGTCATGTTCATGCACGTAGTGCGTGCATACATCCACCGTGTGTAAGCGTTAAAGTGTCCGTTCTACTTGTACAGCGTGGCTGTCAGTCAACAATAAATAATCTTCTTATTAAGAATAAACGTGCCTCCTGTGTGAACTCTCTGAACAGGGTTGGCCTGCCCTTCTGTATCATAACGGTGGTACATGGAGGTGTAAAAAGTTTGAGAAACACAATTATACATATGGATATAGTGTAAACCCAGCCAATTTTAAATGTACTTCATCATTTGAAGTTTATAGTTATGAATGTTTTATGAATGTTTTATCTTGTAAGTACTGAGTCCTGGCAGCTTATTACAATATGCATTTAACTCTATATTATTTATAGAAGTGGTATGATGGTGCTGTAGTTGGCTATTAGGGAGCAGCGGCATTGTTCCTTTCAAGTTAGTGTGTTGTTATCGTTCCTTTGCCCTTGTGCGTCTTTTCAGCACCACTGGTAGTTCACAACAGGATTGTTCCAGGGTTAACTGAAACAACAAAACAAAGGATGAGACAGTGTCACGTGAGCAGTGACTCAGAACAGAGCACGAAGGCCTGCTGTGTGAACCTGGATTTGTATCAGCTACGAGTGAGCAGAGTCGAGGTTAAAGGTGAGGTGATCTCAGTGACTTATCTTTCCTTATACTGTTGAAAAAATCCAGCGAAAACAGAAGGAATGTGGGCTTAGGCACTCGTCAGCTTTTGGAGGAGAGAGACAGAAGCGTTCCCTTCACCTGAATAACCCGGTCGTACGCCGCCTTCACTCCCACGGGAAGAGTCAGTCAGGGACATGAAGGTTCTGAAGGTGAAGGGAACCTAGAGAGTATCCTGTCCACGAGTTCCAGGTGTCTCTCGTGGTTTTCCCGGCTGATCCTTTCATGCATGGCTTCCAGCTGATTCATTAGATTGTTCTGCATTTCCTTCTCGTGGTCCATCAACCTCTGTAGCCGGGCGTCCTCCTGCGCCTGCATGGACGCGTCCATCTCTCTGAGCTGTGCGACGGTCGCCGACACCAACGTGGAGACTTGCTCCATCACCGTCGTTTTCCTCTTCTTCGAGGGGATTGTGTAAGCTAGAAAACAAGAGCGACAGTGCAGCCTGTCAGTAACGGGACATTTTAATGTTCAACTAGAGAAAGATTGTAATTTTCCAAGTTGTGAAATGACATGACAGCAGACAGTGTGTTTACCCACCTGACTGGCCTCTGCGTCTGCTCCACTGTCGGTCAGTTTGATAGTCTTAACAGTGAGGATGGAGAAAAGGAGTTAAACACATGAGTGGGCTGTAAGAGACATGCTGCTGTCCACCAACGCTTGACCCCTGAATGCACTGTGATTAAATCTGGGTGAAAACAGACACTTTAAATAGCATTAGGCAAATTGTTTTATTAAATTGGGGGTTTGTTTTAGGATTAAATTCACTGAATCACGCATTCAATTCTCCTCTGTGCACTGCTGCCATAAAACATGGAAGCGTGTGCAGTATGCCTCATCAAAGTCAGGAGAAACATTGCTGCATCTCTTCTTTAAAAACCCTTACTATTCATGAGAATTTCAGCAAAACAAACACGATAACAGCACTTCACTTTTGAAGGGGTTTAAGGAGTAACTTCTCACAGCTTTGAGGAGGAAAAGCTGACCTACGCTTCCTCTTTCTGTGGCTGTCTGTGGCAGCAGTGCGCACTTTCAGAGGGTTTGGAGCTTTAAAAGTGTGGGCTATCCTGTCTGACTGCCTGTGAGAAGAGTTAATAACCACACTTGGGCGTTTTTTTTATACTTTTGGTATGATGTGTCTGTCCCCCCCCCCATATTTTAGTCATAGCACACACGTGAAGTTTGCCCAGACAGAAAGTTCATAGGCCTCCATAGAGATGCTGGTGTAGCAACCAAAGCCTGTACATTTACAGACCAACAGGCTCTGGGCTGAGCAGTGCGAGGATGGCTGACAGCACATACAAGTGCACGATGACAGACGAGTAAAGGGTCCCTGCAGCTGCTAATGCCCTCTGTAAGGTTTGCTTATGACAGCTGGTTTGGATCTGGTTATAAACTGATAAAACACTGTCTACCAAACACTGATCTAAATGACAAATATGGCACCTATCAACAACAACAACAACAACAACAACAGAAACACATGCACTCACTGGCGCTGATGGGCTCTAACTGCTCCTCGTCGTCCTCCACCTCCACCGGACCCAGGTGCTTGTTGATCTCCCGGTCGTCCACATCGTCCCAGAGGCCGACTACAACCTCCTGGTGCTCCTCACTGAGGCCAGGCGGCTCCGGAGGAGGATGAGGAGGAGGAGGGAGGTGTGGAGGTGAGAGTGAGAGTGAGAGTGAGGGTGCGGGTGGGGGCGTGGGACTCCGGTGTCGTTTCCCCGGGTTCCCCACGGGAGCGTTCCCGAAAACCCGATGACACTGGTCGTAAAACGGCCAGTCGACGCGGTCGCTCCCGCAGCGGGTCTTCTGCTGGTGGTACTTGGCGTACTGCTTCCTGAGCGCCTTCAGTTTGCTGATCACCTGCATGTGCGACCTGTACACCCCCCTCTCCGCCAGCAGTTTGGTCATCCTGTTGTAAACTACAGAGTCCTTCACCGTGCCCGTGATCTGGTTCCGGATCGCCTCCGACCCCCGGATGGTCAGCAGTTCTTTGATTTCGTTCTCCTGCCAGTTGTGCATCTTCTCCTTTGTGGACGATTGTGTCTCCTGAGCGGCTCCACTTACTATAAAACACCTCCCTTGTATATTTGCGCCCTGTGGGGCTACGTCACATGTCTGCGCCGGAAGAAGACGGTGTCAAAGATAGCTTATTGGGGATCACTCACTCAGGAGCTGGAAATATGGGACTATATCTTCTCTTTCTTATACTGATGCTCTTTTAAAGTAAATCTGTCAAACCATAATATATGTTTTACTGTATTAATATGCATTACAATAAGTGGTTATTGTAAGAAATAATACAAATATAACTATTTTATACTATTATTTAATACTATAGTTTAAGATTGAACTTCTTGACCTGCTGGACACAAGTTGTCTCCTGCTTTACTGTAGTTCATTCTCAGTGTATGGAGGTTTTCCACACCACACTCTGGATGAGTGAGTACTTCTTGTACATACATGTTTTACAGTGAGCACAGAGAAACTTTCCTCTTTCAGCAGATCACCTCAAAAACTTCTAGTGTCAAAGTCCAAACATGCACCGTTCTGCACAGTGAAGCCAAAACATGGACGGCGAATACGCAAAACATCTTTCTGAGTGGAGGAGGGCTTTATTATTATTATTATTAATAATAATAAATTGTATTATAAACTGCAGCAATTAACTATTCATTTCATTGTTGATTAATCAGACAAACAATTGTTTTGATTGACGTAAGAGAGAAGAACAAATATGCACTTCATCACAATTTCCTGAAGTCCATGTTGAAATATTCAGATTACAAGTTTTGTCCTGTCCAAAAGTCATAGTTTAATTATTATAGAAAGAAATATCTGAGAAACTGGAACCAGTGACTTTTGGTTGCTTAAAAAAATGACTGAAATGCTTAATTATATATTGTACTAAGTTAGGATTGAATAACTGTAGAGACTATATCAACAGTTATTACTATTTTAGGTAGTAGTAGTAGTAATATCACTTATGGCACAGCTCACAATTGACATATTTGTGTTGCATGTAAACAACATGGCCAAAAGTATGAGGCTACTCAAATATGAATATGCTGTTATAATAGTAAACACTCGCAGAGATCTTTGTCCTATTTAATCACAACAGCTTCAGCAAAACCATCAATAACGTTTGCACAATATTCACCATTTATTTGGTACTATAAAGCCACATTTTACAGTCAGCATGTGTCCACATACTTTTGACCATATATCCCGGTAAAGATTGCAGTACCTCTACCACACACTCGGTGGCGCTATTAGGAACAGGTCCAATACGGAAATTCAACTCGGAAGAAACACGGATTGCACTTCACTAGTTCCGCTGTGAAAAAAAAAAAAAAAAACATCCAATGCAGTCCTCCTCTGCAGCCGATATCTGACATCGACCAGTGACTGCCCGTCCGGCTGAACACTGGCATGTAATCCGGCCGTGTTGGAGCCTAGCACAGCCTGCATGAGCAGCAACCAGCGGGGTGTGGATGCGCTGATAGCCTGGTAGCGAGCTCACCTGTCCGTGTTGTGGTGGTGATGGAGAACACCGAGGAGTCTTCGCCCCTCCGGATCACTCCGACCGTCCGGGCGCTGAGCTCCGCACTGCGGGGGAAGCGTGACAATGTCCCCGATTCCAGCCGGGAAAACGGCGACAGGATCTTCCCCGATCCGGAGAAGCTTTGGTTCAAGGAGAGCAGCGCTAAAAATCTGCGTAACAGGGACTTCTTGTCGCCGACCACGATGCTTAACACGCTGTATGCGGACGGACAGGTTGGTTCGACTGGTACCTGTGGGGGTTTCCTGCATGTTAATGGCTTTAATGTTCATTTTATGTCTTACCACATTAACGAAAGCAGCTTTAGCTAAAAAAATAAAAATAAACATTTTTAAAAACACGTATCATCGCTGAAACACACATTAAACGGCAGCTAGTACCACCGCTGGTGTACACAACTGTTAACTGGTTAACCTGTACAACTTCATATGGCAAGAAAGTCTACATCTTATTCCTCCGCTAAGCATTATAGTCCCTGGGCAGTTACTGTACATGTTTGCCAAGGTGCCACTGGTTTTATTTAGCGCAGTAATATTTAAAAGGACGGAAGGGGTTTTCAACGGTTTCGAACGTGACTCGGCCAATAGGAGCTGAGTACCGGAACTATCTGCTTCATAAGACACAGCCGAGTCCAACTGCCTGAACAACAACATGGAAACTGAGTTAAATCCCACAAATACTGAATGAAGGACACCTCAAACCCTAAATGATGAATGTGTTTGAGTGCTACTGACAGAGCTAAATCCCCTCAATAGCTAAGTGGCTGTTGACTTGGCCCCATCATGATCGACCAGACTCTCAGCCTGCGGCAGTAATTATTAACCCATGAGCGGCAGCGCAATATGGGTCAGACAGACAGACAGACAGACAGACACAGCTGTAAGCGAAGCTAGCTCTGCTAAAACTGGGCTGGCGCAAAATACACGAAGGCCTGTTCCAAAGTGTGTAAGATATGACGTTATGAAGATTATATCTGACTGTAAGTCATCTTAACAAACGCATCTTTCAGCCCCCCCCTCTGGCACGTTGCATCTGTGGGCGTGTTCATGCGTCCCTGTGTAGGAGGATGCTTTCATGTAGTATACTTGTATACACTGCACATGCACTCATTGGGTTTTGAAGTTGACAGTGATGTGCAGGATTTTGCGCAAATGCATGTGCAAATCAGTTTTTCAGACATGCTTATCTTAAAGGTAAGAGCTCAAAACAAACATGTTTACTGTGATATCTAATGTGGGAGTATTACATTACATACTAATAGACACAATCTTAAAATGCAAATTCCACCATACTAATTGAGCCTTTTAAAGGAGGTATCTCGCAGTGTCAATGGATATCAAATGCATGCCAGTATACTGTATCAGACCACCTCTAGTACAGGGCATAATGCAAATATACCTAAAATACATTCTTCTCCCCTCCTTCCCTTCTCACTCACATATATTTTTCTTCATGCATGCATGCATGTATATGAGTCTCTGATCATTTCCCCTGTCTGCCCAGGTCCCTCCAGCAGTGATGTCCAGGGTCCTGTCTCTCCGTGGCACTGGGGTTCTCCCTGTGGCTGGTGGGGAGGTAATGGGTGAGGGACTGAGGGTGAGGGTGGACCGAGCAGCAGCCTTTAGGGCTGTCCTGGCAGGTGGAGCCACTGACTACCTGATGCCCTCAAGTCAGAGGCAAGGCTGTGTGGTGCTCAACTGCCCCGCGCTGCACCCTAAACCCAGCACTCCCACTCCAGATACACTGACTCTGGGCCAGCTGAGGACGGTTCTGTTGGCTGACCACATGGGGGCGCTGTTGAGAAGACAGGGGTAAGTCTGTGGCGTTAATGACAGAAGGGGTTTGTGAATGAAAGGAAGTTGTGTAATGGTCTGTAGAGCAGATGTGTGTGTGTGTATATATATATATATATATATATATATAAGTGTGAATCATGAACAAATTCCTCTGAGCTTTACCTTTTTTACCTCTAACAACGAATCTAATGATAAAACTATCAGGAAGTGCAAAACTTTCAGTGACCTCATAGTTAAAAGCATTTACATTTGAAAATGTGTAGTATGTTGTTGATAATATTATTTTATATTGATTGATTGTTTTATTTCATAAAAAAAAATATTTCAGAGATTCCTCTCTATGAAGAGAAACTCTCATAGTTTGAGAACCAGCTGTTTAAATAATTTATGAAAGAACATTTGGTTTTTGCTTGTAAAATGTGAATTAAATCTGTTTTATCTCAAATTTATTTTTAAATATCTTTGGGTTTTGGACTGTTGCTTTTACAAAATAAGCACCAGAAGACGTCAACTTGGAACTTTGGAAACATTAATGGCCATTTTCAATATTAACAAAACATATTAAATGATTAATCAACAAATTTACAGATTAATTGCTTATGAAAATACTTGTTAGATGCAGCCATAGATTAAAAAGGCTGCTGTAATCAGTACCAATCTCCTTACCTATCTCAGATTTGCAGTGTCCTATTGCCCCACGCTTCCTGAAGACAGCGACATCATCACCTTTCTCAGAGCTCTGGGCATCGATTGGCCGACAGCCCCAGCCAACTGGACCAACGAGAAGCGGGAGGAGAAGATCCAGGAGGCGCTGGAGAGCTCCCCCTACAGAGAGAGGGAAACAGAAAGAGGCAGGAGGACCAGCGGCGGAGGAGGAGGAGGAGGAGGGAGGAAGGCAGAGGAGGGAGAGAACGAGGGAGCACTCAGGGTCAACCTGAAACGAGTGTTCCAGGAGGAGGGGCTGCTGGGATACGACCCCAGCCTAGGTACCTGCACAGGTGAGGCCACAAGGGGACTTGTTTGTTTCAGATGTTAAATTTGAGAACCCAGGGCGTAGCCATTGTTCCTGCAGCTAATGTTTATGTTGTAACGTGTGTTTGTGCTGAGCTGCCTTTATTCCTCAGTCAGTTTGTATTTTGTGAAGACCAAATGTCACAGTTTCAGTGTTTTATAGCACTTTCATGTAAAATGTTTAGCATGTAAAAAAAAAAAAAAAAGCCCAAAAAGATTAGTAAGATAATATAGTTGGTACTGTGTATTTACTGGTAAGACATTGTTGGTGTATCTGTTTCAGTACACAGAGACAGTGTTTCCCATCTGGCGCAACTGGACCTAGCCACAGCCGACTGCTCAGTGAGACACACACACACAACACACACACACACACACACACACACACACACACACACACACACATAAAACAAACAAAATATGCAGTATACAAATACACATTGACAATTTCCTTTTTTCTCTAAACAACAATAATAATAACAACAAAACAATGCATTGATTTGTATATCCTCGCTGTCTCTTTTACAGGTAGCCATGGCAACAGCGTTACATGTGACTTCCTGTCAGGATGAGTTCCGCCAGCAGCAGATAGCGGTGCTGTGGAGAGCCAGTGGAGCGACACACACACAGGTAACCACACACACACGAGCACACACAATCAAGCATTGCATTGTGTTCCTGCTTTTACCTGCTCTACTCTCCGTGTCTGCAGAGACATCTGGTGTGTGGGCCTGTGAAGACTCCTGGTTCTCACCTCACTGCTGCTCAGTACCTGCAGTAAGACACATCACTTTCTTTGTCTGCGGTTGTTTTCTCACCATTTCTGTCTGGTTTTCTATCTTCCCTGTGTCTCCACTTGTCTTCCCATCCTCTTCTTCCCTGCCCAGCTCTCCACCAGACAGATGTTTATTATCACAAACGCCACTCTCACCATCTCTGCACTGTAGAATTTCAGTTCTAATTAAACGAAATTAAAAGAACACTAGTGGGCGTTGATGTTGCTTTTCCTCATCTCCGTCTTATCGCTGTGTATTTTTAGCGCAGCTGTCTGTGTAAATGAGGCGTCTATTGTTTCTTTCTTCCTTCCTCCTGCAGGCTGAGAAGAGGTCAGATGAAGGAGGCCTCAGAGATGAAGTATGGAGATCAAGTAGAAGGTGTGTGTACACATAAAGCTGCATTTGTGTATTTATGTACACGCTCATTATTAATCATATGCTCTTATTAGGAAACCAACCTGACTGATACTAATTACCATTAACTACAGATAAAGTGAACTAACTGGAGTTATTTTTATATCGCCTCCTCCTCATCGTCCTCTTGTAGGTCAGACGTGGGATGACATCATCAGGGTCATGACCTCCGCCACTGTCAGATTTGAGCTGCTGTCTACTGTCCACACTAGTCCTGTGAGTCATCATTCCAGCTGTGTTTGCACCTGAATGTGTCATGCAGGTGGTGCCCATATTAATTCATTAAGAACGACTGTGTTTGACGTGACCAGCCTGTCAGTTATAAACACCTCTCTGTTTCACGCACACAAATTGATGACAGTTTGCTCTTTGATGCAATTAGTAGTCTGAATGATTGACAGCTGTCTGTTAGGTGACACTGGACGTCCAGAGGGAAGGGGGCGTGTCCACCAAAGGGCCGAGAGGAGGAGTGTTTGTGATGTATAACTGTGCCAGACTGCACACTCTGTTCGACAGCTATGAGAGAGGAGTGGAGAAGGGTGAGAGTTGTGCTCTGCAAGAGATTCATGTTTCATTTCGCCGATCAACAACATTGCAAACAACCATTAATTCAGACCGCTGTGGCCTGGAAGTATTCCCTTAATCCCAGAATGAAAGACAAACTTAATAAAAGCTGAGAAAAATCAATATTTCAATTGAAAAGAAGCAGGGACAACAAATGTGGAAAACAATCTTAAAATTTGAGCTGCAGTGTGATGATATGCTCTGATTAGTTACAGCCTGATTTAATTGCTTTTATGTGAAGGTGTCCCAATTAAAAAATCAGTACAGATAATTAAATGTGATAACCATGTTTAGAAATACAAAATGATGATTAATGTGTGTTTAGTTATTGCTCACTAATCATTCCTGTGAACAACATCCTAAACATTTAATAACAAATCATATATTTAATATCACATCAGCTTGCATGTGTGTTCTAACTCACAGAGGTACAAAGAAATTGTAAATGAAAGATAATACTGTAGACAGTGGCCATCAATTAAATTCATCAATTAGTTTTTTGTTATTGTTCAATAGGTTGCCAACATAGTTACACAGGTTTTATTTGTGTGTATTTAATTTATTTTAAGAATAAAACAGATTTATAAAACAGTTGTTTTATAAAGGGCATATGTCATCTTTCCTGTTAGTAAGTGAGGGCTGAGAGAGGTACAGCAGCCTACATTAATGCTCATTTGGCAAAAATGACTCACATATGCAAATATATGCATTATGTTATTAAGACATTTCTGATTGAATTGATCAGCTTTATTGACCAAGTATGTATACACATACAAGAAATGTGAGTTTCTCTTAGAGCACGTAGACACAGAACAATTTACAGGAAGATAGAATGAAAGTACTGTTGTTGTTGTTGTAGTTGTTACAGGGCTGTTTGTTGGGATTTACGTGAGCACTGTATGTACAAAAAAAAAAAGTTTTTAAAAACTTTATTTGTGGGCCAGATAGTTTTGTTGTCAGGGTCAGATTTGGGGCCTTTATTTCCCTACCACTGCTGTATGGGGTCTAAGCTCAATATGTCTACAATATTGATTTGTAAATTTGAAAATGTGTAGATCAGTACATGTTCATGTGTTTTTTCTGTTTATCTGCAGGTCTATACCCAGAAATCCCTGAAGGCTCCCAGCTAGACTTCTCTGCTCTTAAAGAAGAGGTACCACTTCATTCTCTTCCTTTTAATTTCTTTATATTTCCTTTGTTTTTGTTTTTCTTTACTTTAGACTATAAACTGTCCTCACATCAGCATTTCAGTGTTGATCCATCCCTGTGTCTGCGTTTACTGACAGGGCGAGTGGCTTCTCCTGTTCAATTACCTCATTCCGTTCTCCGAGCTGCTGGACCAATCAGGACAAGCGTTAGACTGTGAAGGAGGAGGAGCCAGAGTCAATATTAAGACTGAACAGGTGAGGGGACTGAGATTCACTGTATATTGCTCAATAGACAAATTCAAAACACGTGTATTAAACCAAAGTCAGCTGTTAAGATGTTTAACTCATGTTTGTGTTTCTCAGATCTGCAAATTCCTCGTGTCTCTCAGTAAAGACTTCAGCTCGTACTACAACAGAGTCCACGTGCTGGGGGTGAGGATGTTTTTACTGTGTATATATACATATATTCTTATAAATAAAGAAGGTCTTGTGTTTGTACAGTTTACACACACACACACACACATATACATATATATATATATATATATATATATATATATGTAAATAAACACAGGAGATTTTAATCTGTAGTCTTGTCTTTCTGTTTTTCCTTCCAGGAGCCGTTGCCTCATCTCTTCAACCAGATGTTCTGTCGTCTGTATCTGTTAAGAGCATTGAGAGAGCTCTACCACAGTGCTCTGGACATCCTTAACCTTCCCCCCATCAGGCAACTATAGCCACGACATAGTACACTCTGCCTGTGATCACTTTTATCCCCTCCTCCCCACCCATCTCACACAAACACACACTCACCTATGTTTTGTAGCTTCATCATGTGCACACTTTGTTTAGCAATGAACAAATCGTGACCTTTCCCTCTTTTTGGCAGTGGTACAGTACAGTCTGAGGCTGTTGGTCAATTATGAGATATAGTTTTACCTGCCCACTGCTGTCAATCAGATGACTATAGCTGGACATACTGTAACTGTAAGAATATTTAAAGGACATCATTACACATAAATCATGTAATGTGATGTCAGTATGGTCAGTTTTTTACTTTCTGAGTCAGAGGAGAAGATTGAAACCAAATATGAAGCTACTGGAAGCAAGCAGTTAGCTTAGCTTAGCATAAAGTAAAGTAGAAGGAAACCACAAACCTGGCTCCGTCCAAAAGGTAACTAAATTTACCTATTGGCTAATTGAATTAGACAGAATGAGGTTCACTGTTTCCCCCTGCTTCCAGTCTTTAAGCCACGCTAAGCTAACTGGCTGCTCATATTTACTGTACATACATGACAGTGGTATCAATCTTACTCTCTAACTACAGCAAATAAGCATATTTTGCAAAATGTCAAACTATTGCTTTAAGTTTGGATTAGTTGCTAAATACGATGTCCCTCCCATAGTCGTACTTAGGCATCAGAATTTTAACAGCCACATAAGGTCCAGTCTACAGTGTCCTTGTTTTGGAGGATGGGATGCTTTCTCTGTTGAAGCCCTACATTGTAATTTTAAATTCTACTCTAATCATGTGACCATATGTTACACTTATACACACACCTGAGACTTTTACTCTCATTTTGGTGCCAAAATCCCACCAGTAGACGCTCCATCTAAACTGTAATAAAATGTTCTAATTTATTATTATCACAGTTGCCCCTTACTTAGTGTCTCCCCTCTCTGAAACACATAAAAGTGTCTTAGTCACTGCCTGAAGATTTTTTAACTGCTGAAGGTCACATTTTATGTGTTACCAACCTTGTATTTATCAATGCCACACAAATATTTATTGCTAGTTCAAAAAGAGATCTGTACAGAAAATATATTCTGCATATGAGTCTTAAATGCTGTGTTCCTATTATTATTCAGAGCCCTCTGATTCATCACAGTCATCCTGCTTGAAAAAATCCTAATGTTCAGTATCAATCAACAGATGTAACAGGTGTTAAGAAGTTATTGACAAAAACTGTTCATTAGCAGCATTTAGGGCATCGTGCCATAACGTTAGAAAATGCATGAAATGGCATGAAAATAATTTATATATATATATATATATATAAATAGTTTTATGCCAAAAATGTTGTTTATAAATTTTGTTATGGGAAACATAATGACTTAAAATTGATCCTTCAGTATATGTGAAGTGTGTTGCCATTTCAGTTCGGTACTGTCTCTTTAAAATGTGCCATAGCTTGTTTAAACTTTCTGCTTCACATTTTTTTGTAAATTGGTGGGTTTTTTTTATTTTTATGTGAATATCTCATGTTGGAACAAAACAGTTAATGTATCAAATATCTTACAGACTCACTTCTCACTGCATGAAATGTTGTTTGACTGATTGTTTTTATTAAATTTTATTTCCTATAGAAAAGGGAATGGGATGTTTACAATATGCTGATTTATTTACAGTGACTGTCTTGTTAACCACCGCTGTAATTACCACAGTATTAAAACCGAAGAGATGCAGAATGAGGGACTTCAATTTTCTCCTTCCTTATACTCTCTCACTGTATCGGTACACAGCTGTATATAATACATACAGTTACATACATGTTCACTTTAGCCATTGCTGTGTTTCTCTTGCTGCAGTGTTTCCAACCCTCAGGCCTCAACATCTTGTACCTTCTTCTTCTAGCTCTCATTCTTTTCTCCCTAACTCCCATATCTCCAAGAGCCCTTATATCTCTTTATTCAGTACTGTATTATTTAATCGCATACAGAGCTTAAGCTTGCCCCTCATTTCAGTGCATCTGGTGTGAGAAGTTCAAGTACTTCCCCACCTATTTTCTTTATGGAGATTTCTACAGCTACATGTTGACTCAAACAGAGTCAAGGCAAGGGAACAGGAGCAAAACTATGTTTAAAGGAATAATTAATAACTCATTCAATACAACATTGTGATGGATGACATACATTTTCTTTTTCTTGCTTTCAGTAGTTAAAAAAAAATGACATTCCTATCCTGAAAAATCTCTACATATATGCACATATATAAGTGTATTCACTCCATCTGAATGTCAAACTCTCCTACACACATCTGTCCGCCTACAGTTTCTGTTTGTTTCCTGTCTGCAGAATTAAAATAACCCTGACTGACTCTCACACTGTGTGTTTGTCTCTGGCCTGAAGAAAGATGTACATACTGATACCATTATTCTATAGATAAATCCCCTCGTACTCCACTACCGCAAACTGCCCTTAGGCCACACAGATCCAACAATAGCCCACACTCTGCATGGATATACAGTATATACTGTTAACAGTGATCCATCACTGTAGATACAACCCTGGTAATGTGACGCACCATTTGTCTTTACCCTTTCTCTCTGTTTACATCCCATCCTCTGGCTTGGATTCCTAACTTGCTGTTTTCTTCCCTCCATTCTGCTGATCATCACTTTCCTCTTTTGGACCTCATTTATAAAAAGGAAGACACTGATTAATGGATGATTACAAGCCAAAGATTTGCTTCTTGAAATTCTGAGTTGAATTCCAAATTAACTTAAAAAATGTTTAAGCTAAAATGTTTAATTTCTATGAATTATCAGGATAAAGTGAGAGACAAGAGGCCCTCCACTGACTTTGTAAATACACATGTATGCTTGACAGTGTAGTTTGTCCCAGTTGGAACTCCTTGCTGCTTTTGTTATCCATCTCCTCCTGTATCTACTGTCAATACCCAGACTTTATATTACACAAAGATGGAAATGTGTTATTGTGGGTTTATGAAACATGATATATACTGTATTTATGGTCTGGACAGACCATTTATGATGCCACCTGTACCCAGACTGTTCTTTTTCCTCTCATTTCTTTTCCTAGTCCTACCCATCACTTCTTTCTCCCTTCCCTTCACATGACTTATATTCTAAATGGATGTGTCACCAAACTGTAATTCTTTTCTGGGTTATAATCCCTGAGAAAGATCACTGCTCTAAAGACAAATAACATGATTAGTTGTAGTTGGAGCTCTGTAAAGCAAGATGACCAATATCAGTCGTTTATATCCTTACATCAATATATCCTCTATCACACACACACACACACACACACACACACACACACACACACACAGAGAACTGTGCCTCTCACCTGCAACCCTTTCCCTTCTCAACATGGAATCAAACCTGTACTCACCAAGCTATGCTAAATGTACACGTATGGGATCAATAAATTATTACTGACGACACCACCCTGATGATTTTGTTGATCTGTAACATTTTGGCTTATTTACATTCTGTTGGACTGAAACAGGAATCAGTGGAACAAGTTGTTAGTCATAATAGTTGTGTGATAAGATAATGGCTGGAATAATTGGTTCTGTTTTAATTAACTGAGCAGCACAGACAAATCTGTTGATTGCCTTCATAATAATGCTATTAGTGGAGGATTTAACCATGGTTAAGGTCAGTAGCAGCAATTAGCATGTAGCCTAGATAGGAGATCATGCAGGCAATTAGTGGAACCTCTAAATATCATGGACAGAAGATGGTAACTGAGTGTTATTGGTTCGTGTCTACAGCAATCCTGCTGCACAGCTCATTCCCAATTAGCTCAAGTAAACAATGATGGAATTAAAGTTTTAATTATCCATTAGTATTTATAACAAGCAACTTAAAGTAATAGTGAGGATGACTATGTTGTAGTGGTATCTTTCCTGAAAGGGTAATGAATGAGCAAGAGAGATAAAAGTGTCTGTCAAACGCTGTGTGTGTGTGTGTGTGTGTGTGTGTGTGTGTGTGTGGCTTTTGTTTTTTTTAATTTGAGTCCATATCACAAGTTAATTTTTCATAAACTTCGGCCTCCACATTAATTATTAGAACAGCTTCATTTGTTTATGTACTGTAAAACTATGACATCTCACATATATATATATATATATATATACAATTAAATATTCAATTAAAGTACCTGTCCCTACAATTTCTGCATCTGTGTAGCCTTTATATTTATATTTCAGTACTTATTATCAGTGTGTCTACAGTTAGAACTGTGTCTCTTTAAAAAGCAGAGGGAAAAGTATTCACTTGATTTATGGTGTTTTCACAGACAAGATACCTTCCACCTGTTCTGGCTGTCAGCTTCTTCTTCCAGCAATTCCTCCAAGAATTTGAGGAGAGTGAGAGATGGTCCAAGCCCACGCAGTCATGATATATCTTCCTGCCAACACAGCACACATAGAGCAACTGACTGTTTCTGCATGATCCAAAGCCACAGTGTTTATCAACCTGAGGTGCTCCAGTTAGATGGTGCAAGGTCTCATCTATGCATTAAGACAGAATAAGAAATCAACTTTTAGATTTGATATGAAATGCTGGTATAAACTCCTGACATTTACAGTCCTAAATGATAAGTGACAACCAATAAATGTGGTGAGCCCACAGAGCAGTTTAATGATGTGTTTCCTCCTTCCCACAACCTGTCCTGACCTGCAGTAATGAGCTGCAGTCTGCTGTGTCAATCTCTGTTATAGGCTATCAAGTTTACAAATTCAGGCACACACACACACACACACACAAACACACACACACACACACACACAAACAAATATTGCTTTCTTGCTCATAAATTTCGATATTCAACTAATACTCTTTTTTTATTACAATAAAGAATTTTCTAAAGATATGGACAAAATAAATACAAGTTGCATACAAAGTTTTTAAAAGTGGACATACAAGTAGCTAAAATAGATGTTTTAATCTAACTCTAAGTATTATGTTAAATTTCCCAGATCAACAATACTATCATTAGTGAGAAAGTCATCAGTCAGACACTTGTTACCTCTTAATAGTCATGTATAGAGCTGTAAACTGGAGACTTGAACTTGAGTCACACTTAAGTCACAGAAATGAGGACTTGAGACTTGACTTGGACTACTCTGCAACTTGACTTGCTTTAGACTTGAAAACTAAAACATTCAGGCCAACGAGTCTTGTTAAGTCCTTGAAGGAACAATAAAAAATAAGACCAAGCAGGCCTTGCATAGCCACTCACCTGGTCCCAAAAGGACTTGGTCTCAGTTATGAAACAAGACTCAGACTCTACAGCCATGCTACAGTCTATGGTGGACTAGCTAAATACTGTCAGAATGCTAACAGGCTGATGTTTAACAGGTCAAATGTTTCCAATGCTCACCATCTTTGTTTAGTTATTTCTAGGTACCACTATAAGCACTGAATATGGTAATCCATCTGATAGTAGAGACATTTCAGTCCGGACCAAAGTGGTGGACTGATCAACAGACTGACATTACCATCCCTAGAGCTATTTAGCTTGCCCAAACAAAATCAGTATTAACCCAGCTTTAGAGGGAAAATGTGCATGTTTCCTGTCATAAAATGACTTGCAGCTTTAACTGAGATTTACCAACAAAGACTTGTGACTCAACTTAAACTTGCTTACTCATTTCATATTCTTAAAGAATTACACAGATTTAAAGTTCTGGTCGTGAAAGAGCGTTCAAGACGGCTTGAAATCTGATCAACCCACCTGAAAACAGTATTACCTGATGCTAAATCCTGATACGTCTTAACAATATCCCATGACTGAATAAATAAAACTGTCAAAAACAAATGACACTCCTGGGCCCCTTGTTTGTTGTTTTCTCATCCCAATGTTTATATCTTGCATGTATTACACCTACAGTACGTAGAGTAAGCACCAACTTATTGTCACATATGGACAGACACACTAACATCCTGTCTCATCTTTCACCCTCTACAATTAAAAATATTCCAACCACTTCTTCCTTCCTCTATGCTGTTATACCCCAACACACACACACACACACACACACACACACACACACACACACACACACACACACACACACACACACACACACACACACACATATGCTGTCCCAGGCTGACAGACACAACAGCAGAGACAGACTCGGTTTGAGACTCAAACCCACCTGTCTCCAATGCATCAGCCAGGGAACAGCATATGTGTGTGTGTGTGTGTGTGTGTGTGTGTGTGTGTGTGTGTGTGTGTGTGTGTGCGCACAAATGCATGAGTAAGGTGATGAAGAGGTCACTGTTAGATTTTCTCATTTGGGGAATCATCTGCTCCTGCTGTCTGCTGTGTGCTTAGTAAAAACAGCAACACAGCTGTTTCTGGAGCTTTTGTTTCTGCATATTTACATGAGTTATATTGACACAGGCTTTCTTTCAGTTTGGATATTTAATTATCAAGCATGGCTGCAGTGCAAATGCTCTCAGTGCTGTTTGCTTCTCTCTTAATTTTTTATAAAATTTAATTGTGCACACGAGCCCAGCACAAATATTTTCTCAAATATATCATAGTGAGTATTCCGTACAGTACATGCATGCCTTTTGTCGGCATTGTGCACTCTGTTCTTCTTCGAGTTTGTCGTCTGCTTATTGTCATGTCTGTACCACATCTGGGTGTCTGATCTACCCCAAATGCTCACAATGAGCAATGATGCAATCTGACTGCAGTGCACCAGGTTCACCACACAGTGGCGATGTTCGGACAGGTTTTTAACCAACTGACACCCAAGCCTTGAACCCAGCCAGACACACTGCAAAAACACCAATCCTAAAAGGTAATTTACAGTAATCCTTTAATCATTTCAAGTTCTTAAAGAATTAGACTTGTTTCAAATCAACAGTTCTGGTTGTGAGAGACTATTTCAATAGAACAGCAATCGTTTAATTAGCTGTATAATGTAATGCTTTTGTTTCTGTCAGTGTGGTCAGACGATATTTTAAATGCAGTTTAAATACATGTTTTTTTTATTATGGATCAAGATCATTTTTGAAACAAACAAAAAAAAATTATCACTATTTTATAATTATGGAAAAACTGTGTTGGGAGAGTGTGATGGACTGAATTTAAGGTTACATCAATTAACTGAATATGAGCATCAGTGGTTTGGATCCTGAGCTCAGTTTGTGGTGCTCAGTATTCTAAGCAAGAGGCGAGGTTGGCTGCCAGATGCCAACATCTGGGTCTTCATTCCAATAAACCGTTTGGTTTTAGGGTTGTTTATGTCATCAGTACTAATTAACTACAACACATCTGTCTTGAAAGACAGACAAGACAAGTGTTGGGAGCTTGTAGTTTCCTCCATGTTA